CAATGAATTATCGCGTCTAATAAATAATATCAAAGTTTTTCCCCGTGACACAGCTCATGCTTCTTTGTTCACCCTGCGAGCTGATTAATGGAAAAATGTGGGTCAGTTGAAACTCGATCGTTTATTTATAGGACACCGCGTATATTCCTCGATCCCATTTCAATCGCTTGAGCACAAAGACTTTGGTTGAAGAAAAGAAAAAAGAAAAAAAAAAGTTATAAGGGAACAGACCTGTGTAGTCAACCTGTGTAGTTTATTTGTTCTTGAAAAATATCATTTAGCCAGAGACACGATTGTGAACTAAATCAGGCAATCGGTACTAAAATTGTAAAAGCAAAGTCTAAAACGAACGCAGTCATTCTTTCCCAGCATGCATTGCACGCTCTCGTAATTAATTTATCGAGCAACGGCCGTGCTACCTATACCTTCGAGTCACCCGGTATTAAAAAAAAAAAGACGGCGAGAAAAAAGTACAGGGCGTCGCCCACCGAGCGTTCGGTTTAATTCATTTAATTCGGCCGATGACGTCACAGCGCAATTAAAGCCGATCTACCGGATGCACGAACGTGCTCGGTACAGAAGGTTAGGGCTGTATGAATTACTTTTGTAATTCGTTCAAAGGACACCCTTCTTTTTTTTTTTACGTAACTCCGCCGACCTTGTCCATGACGCAATCGAACGCGACTTCACAGTTCAAAGCGCCCACCACCCGTCGGACTCAATGCGTTTCGAATTCAACTGAATTTTCCCGCGCCTAACTGAACTTCTCTCAGCATGAATTCCTCGCGCGCCTGTACAACAACAAAACTACATTTAGATCCTTTAAAACGACCAACGTACAAGAATTCAGAACCACATAATGCGTATACGCAAAGTCACGCGTAAATCTCGTTCACGCACGAAACCGCTATCCCGACTGTTTTACGTAACCTCAGTGAGCACGTAGCTGCAGCAATGGGGAGGGGAAGGAAAAAAAGGGTTACGAACCGAGCCGTACGTAAAGATAACGATGAATGGAAAAGAAGAGAAAGGCGCAGGATGCGATGGGACGGTGACGAGGCAGCCGAAGCTGGACACCAGTCACGTCGAGTCACGAGTAGCCAAGATATATTCAGCCAAGGTACCAGGCACCACAACAAAAATTAATAACCGTCGAACTCATCGACGTAACGTATGCGAAGGGTCTCTATTTAAACTCGCATAAGCCAACCACCTTGTAAACATAGAGCCAACCCGGTACACTCCCCTACGCAACTTATTGATTCTTGGTCGATAAGTCAGCTAATAAAAAAAAAAAAGCACGTGTAACGCATATAGAAGAGCAGTCGATGCACGACTGACGTGTTGCCAATGTGGGGCAGAATCCTTGGACAATGTGGTGTAACGTAGTTTCACGTTGACAGGAGGGTAGGGAGGGACAAGAGACGAAGGAGAAACTCTCGTGTTACCCTAGGTCCATTTACACGACATTAGCCATCATTACTGGTCGTGCCTGGCATTTGCCAGGCACTGGCTTCGCTTCTGGCATCGGTAATCTGATCTATTGGCGTCTTATGACGTTTATTTTATTTTCATTAGCCATTATTTTTATTCTCACTGTCATCGTCTGCTTCCGGGGCAGGGCCTCAGGCTCGGTTGAGACTGAATTTTTAATACTTGCTTTTCTAACCTGGTTCACATTCCCAGCTGGGTACTCTGTTCTCCCGAGAGAAATGATAATGGCCTGTCTACCGACTTGAAAAATATTGATTATACTGTAAACACGAACCATAGACTTTGCTGCTGATTTCGCTGGACAGCGTGTATGCTAATAAAGCCAAGAGGATCCGAGCGTAATGCTGCGTATATAGCTTGTCCGCTGGCTCGCGTCCTGATGATGTCACAGTTTAAACATAGAAATTATCTGTGCGGCGATTTGCTATTAGTAAAGCTATTCCCTTGCTTGCGTTGGCGTGCGCGAGTACCGTGTGAAGGGAGCTTAATATAAGAAATTAAGGGACGTTTGTACACGAGGTGAATTTCAGGTAGTCAACTGCTTTAGTGCAATGCCTTAACTTGATATCTTTATTGTCAATCGATCCATCGGTTTAGCATTAGATTCGAATGAATCTTGCATCGGTAGTATTTTGTAGCCCAGTCTCTACCGTTATTACAGGTTAGGTTGGCTTAGGACCGAAATATTGAAACTATGAAAATTTCGAATTTCACTATAAGTATTGACAGTATTGTTGACAACTTTGTTTACTCACGTGAGTTTGACAAGGAAACTAAGACTGTAGATGCTAACAGTAAGTATTAGATGATACATTGTGTATTTTTGTGAAAACAGAAAAATTACATTTTCACGGTAAAACGTATACACTATCAAAATGGGGAGATGGACATATTAATATATAAATGTTAAAGAATATATTATATCTTTCAACGAAACCACGAAAAAGAAATATTACGAAGTGAGGAAATGGAGGAATGGCATTATGTTAATGTTATTACAAGATTCGACTATCTTACGCTAACGGGAACGATAAATCTCCAATAATAACTCTGTTAAAAAAAGGCTTACAGTGAAACCAGGCATTTCCGTTTAAAGAAAGCGAGAAATAGATGTTCGACAGAAATGGTGGAAAAAAAAAAGAAATTCTTACAGAGTATCATTTTTCTAGTCAGGCACATAACGAATATTAACATAGAATAAAAATTATTAACACGATATGCATCATAATGCACTGTTAACTGTGTCAATATGATTATATTTACCAGCGCGCCCGATTACAGTTATATTTAGTCCTGGGCAATGCTAGAAGAGTAGTAGCCATTGTGTTCAATTTCTATTTGTAAACAGTGCGGCCATTTGTATTCAGTTCGCACGGCCTTTTTACGCTTCTTCAAATTCAGAGTAACGGCCCACTACTGCACGGGTATTGAGTAATTGTTGCAAATTCTCGGGTTCCCAACTGGTTAAGTAATAAACTGCCTGCTACACGTAAACTAATTTACGGCGTCATTACGTCGAATACCGTTAATAGTACAGTAAACTTTTTCTCTTACTTCACGTTGTATTACAATTCCAAGAAATAAATGAAAAACGAAAGAGCAAGATACGGATTGAAATTAAACATAAGATACGAAATCCAGTGATCAAATACTTCCAAAGATTAGATACCGATGAAGGAATAACTCTTAGCATAGCCTGATAATGTTTTCCCATACAGATACGAAATATTTCTAAGGTCGTATCGAGTCTGTTCACAGTCGAACTCGTATCTTAATTAGAGATTAAATAATACATTTGACGCACAATGTAACCATAAACCTTTAAGATCAATCACTGTATAATCTACACAAGCGATAACGAGTCCGATGTATATGCGAAGTAACGCGAGAAAATCGTGCAGAAATGTGAACGTAGCTGTTAAATGGATAAGTAAACACACCTTGTTGTGGTGGGCTCGACGAAAGGTGAAGATCAAGTCAATCCAAGTATATCACAAGAGTAGAAAACTTCACAGAGCACAAAGGCACAAGCTCACTAAACCGTTATTTTACGTAGCAACAATTGTATCCTCTATCACGAGTATTCGTACACGTTGTAATCGCGCGTGATCACGTAAGGCAGACTCATATTATTACACGCCGATTTAACCTCGAGATGGACATACGAGAGTAAGAAAACGAGCGATAATAAGAGAGAAAAGGACCGACTTAGAACACGAACGACAAGAACGAAATCCTAAATCATTCTGACGCTCCTGGGCCAGGAGAGTGTGAGGCGGGTGGGGGAGACCGGCCAATCCCCCACCACAATTCTTTAGCCAATAGGAACTCGAGCTCGACACCACGTGACACGACTTGGTCTCGAATTTCTCCCGATTATAACCGTGGTTCGCTACAGACGGTAGAAATTGATGGTTTTTCTTTTAACGGATGACATGATGCGGTCTCTGCAAAGTTATACATACGCCAAAAGCATAGAGATGTTATTTTAGCATTTAGGAACAAGTATTGAGTCATATATTTTATGCAATGTGTACTATAGAAATTATCGGTATCCCAGAGTAACAATCACAGACACGCAGCTTTTCTTTCTTGTTTCTACAAGATGAGACAACCTCCTACAAATAAACATTCAATGGAATTGTAATTCAGTCGATTATTGTTTCTAGTTTTTCATTGCGCAATTCTGCAATTGTGCAATACACAATCGAACGTGATCGTTCGATTCTGTTGTTCCTTTTTCCCTCTTTGTTCCTTTCTTTCGTTTCTCCCGCTCCCGTGATTCTTGTTCTTTTATTCGCGCTGTTTTCCAATGACGCATACGTCACCAATGTGTTTATCGGATAACTGCGGCCAGGAATAATGTAGACGAAAATATTAATTGAAATCATTTAGCATTGATGGAATGGACGATGTTACTACATATGAAAATGCTCAACTTTTTTGCAGATCATTGTTTTCGAACGGATGCCATGCTCATGTTTATTTAAAATAAAAAGGAACTTCTGGAATTCTACGGGTATGAATTATTATCTGCTGGAAAACTAAGGTGGATTATATCACCACAATTTTTCTACTAAACTCTATTAAGTTTTGGTGAGGAATTTCTTGAAAGACTAGGAATTCGCGGGAACTTTAGATCACCTTCCAACAGATAATTTCTCAAAATGATCATAACCCGTAACCGAAATGTAACCACATCATAATTTACTAATCTGATAGGAAGTCGATAATCGATATTTACAAATTGATCAAATTTTCGATTAAGTTTGAATTTATAGTCGTTGAATAGAGATCACGAAATTTCTAAATAAATTCACTATACAATTATTTCATTTAAGGACAGTTAAAAATCGAATAATATAATTCACAGAGATCTTTCTTATTCGTGATAAAAGCTCGAGTGTCATTGCTTAGTTTTCTAATTTGAGTCGAACCAACCGGTAAGATAACCTATAACTATAACCCTATGTTTAATTCGTTCCGTTCAAAGCCCTCCCGGCATTATCCATTATAAGGAAGTTTAACTGGTGTATCGATAAAGAACTCCTAATGGATCTTTCAAAAAAACCTAGTACTTGGTTGTTTCATTTAAAACTTAAAATATCTGAAAAAACCGGTGAGACTGTTTTCATGGAGAAAACAGCAAGAGACCAAAATGATGCCCAGAACAATTAACCTCAATCAAAGAAAAAATGCGTACCTCGCAAAGGGAGCGGCCAATCTTCAGTTTCCTTGTGACGGCAAAGGAAAAAATTAATAATAAACGATCCTATCAAGATAGATTTTCGAGTATGCCGACAGAGCGGCAAATGGCGGCATAAAATCGTACAGAATCTCAACCATTCGATAACGATAAAAAAATTTGACTTCCCGTCAAATCACATACCTAGTAAACTACCATGACTACTTATAAATGTTAATTTCTAAACCATAATCCTACGTAAATCATGTAAAAGTAGTCAATAAAAAGCCTATTCTATCCAGTCCAGTGACACACCCCTGGTTCACGTCATTGGTTCCCTGTCAAGCTCCATTCGTGTCTGATCGTCAGATCTTTTGAATGTGACACGAATTATCACGATTACCTTAGCCATAAGAAGCAGTTTTCTTTGAGTAAAATGTCAGAGACGTGTAAGAAACTCACCGATAAATCCTTCCTGGTATAATCTGCCGATAACCGAAGATGGACAGGGCGGCGAAGCGTTTTGACTGATTTTTCGGCCGTACGGTCGATCACTTCGGCGTGCAGCCTCCCCCTACTCTTCTTTTTTTCAACTAGCAGATTCGAACCCGGGAGAACAGTCAACGTCAATTACTTGTCTCGTTAGAAAATCTTTGCGAATTCCCGGGGCCGTATCCTGGCTTTACTATCTCTACTATTCAGATGGGCGATTCACGCTGCTTCCCGGCCAGGAACATCGCTCGTGAGAACGCTTTCACTGCGCGATATAACGCAAATCGATTCACCCGTGATCCTGAGTGAGAGCGTCTCTTTTTCGTATAGCGATTGCAGCGCTACTCTATGAATTGCGGCCATTTGTGAAAGCATCTTTGGAATAATTCGTTATTCGAACGGTGATTAAGTTAATGGATGATTTACATAAAACCGATAAATTAGCTCTGTGTCCCTGTAAAGTTAATCATAAAAGTTAAATATGCTGTATATTAGTTTTATTAAGCATTATGATAAGATAACTTATTATTTGACTGCTACGTAGAGCTGAGATACGTTATGTAATATTTAGTCGTGGCTATTGTATGTTTCCAATGGTTCAGACAATAAATGAATTAGGTAGTATATGATCTGTCGTTCTCCCAGAGAAAATTTAAATAGAGATTTTTACATAGTGGAGGAAATAATTATTCTGGAGTTGATGATTAATTTTCTTTTATTGTAGTTTCAAGTATTCACTATAGATATCGCTACTAGTAAATGCCATCTTGTTTCTTCATTTCTATTGTTGAGAAAGTACCACTTCCTCTTTTACTAATTTGTATGGAATGTTGTGCAAGATGGCGCTTCGACAGTGACAGATTGCCGCAAATGTCAAACACGCATAAACAAAACATTTATTTATTGAAGAGATCACTTTTCTAAATATTGCTATTCTTCATTTCTTTTAGCCATATTTTGCCTCGGATTTTTGTCAGAGATAGCGGGATTTCCATTCGGTGAGTTTTTATATACTGTCTTCACGTTTGTTTTAGCTTAAAAGCTGCATCTATAAAGTTATTTAAATCTTATATTTGGTGTTCATTGATGGTACTTTATTTTCAGTGTAATTTAATACAGTTTGCAAGACAGCATTGTCTGTAAGAGCCTGTTAGTCTAATTATTTTTCATCAAGGAATTCATTATTGTGACTAAAATAAATTCTATTTTCTTTAGTTTACTGGAAAACATTTAACAAGAGGGTGTCTTGAAACAATTAAAGTAACAATGTCAGACGAAGAAGACACAGCTATACTGCTAAATGGAGCAAACAGAAATGTTGAATCATCGCAAACAAAACCTTTGGCTGATGATTATCAGTGTATTCCTGCAAAGAACTTGAGGAAACCAATACCAAAAAGAACTGATAATTTAACACCTTTGACATCTACTAATCAGGATGCTCTTGTATTAATTGTTGCTGTAGTAGCTGGATTAGTCTTTGGATACGACATGGGTATTGGAAAACCTCTAGCATCTTCTATCAAAAGTGAATTCAATCTCAGCTGCTTCGAAGCAGACACATTTGCTAATATCTGGTTTGTAGGAGCTCTTCTTGGTGCTATGACCAGTGGTATGTTTGAAATAATAATCTATCAAGGATTACCTGTACCGTACATAAATCATTATTTAAGATTGTTGGTAGCAAGAATATTTACTTTCAGGCATTTTAATAGACACATTTGGTCGGCGCTGTTTAATGATTCTGGCATTAATATTTCTAACGTTTGGTTCTATGCTATCCGCGTTAGCTAGTCACTATATCCTACTCTTGATTGCACGGTTAATATGCGGATATTCTGGTACAGTATCCGCTATTGCACATTGCATATACATGGCAGAGATATCCGATCTAAACAAACGTGGATACAACGTAACGTTGCATCAGTTTGGCACTGCCTTGGGACTTCTGCTATCCGTGATTGCCGTCGCCATAAAAACAGCAGATTATCAATGGAGATTTGTCATAGGGATCACCGCTATTCCTGCCCTTACCACATGCATCATTACCATCATATTTCTTCAACGATCCCCACAATTCGTACTTCTTAAAAGAACTGTGCGTGTCTCTAGAGTAGCGTCAGCTAATCCGTGGAGCAACATTTTCGAGACAATGGCAATTATGGCTGTCATATTGATTCTACAACAAGGAACAGGAAGGAGACAGGTTCTATATTATGCGCCAAGATTATTCGCACTCCTGGGAATCTGTTCGAGTAAGTAAAATTCAATGTATTACTATTTCACAATCATCTTGATGGAACCTGACCAATGGAATTCCAATGTTTAATAATCATACAACATCTAATTTCCAGATTATCGTTTGTACTCTATAAATTCTACAATCTGTTTTAGATGTCGCACAAACCACAGCTTCTATAGCACTGGGAGTAGTAAAAGTATTCAGCACGATACTATCTCTAGTTGTTGTGGAAAGATGTGGCAGACGAACAGCACTGATAACTTCAGCAACAATTTGCATGACCGTCATTTCCCTTCTGTCACTCCTGGCAACATTAGACAGAGGAGATGACACTCTAAACTTTTTACATATGGACTGTACAAACAATATTAATGTTAACGGAGAGAATAAGAGATTGGGAAGCAACATACTCCCGGCAGGATCACCACCGCCATTTCCACTATTGCCTACACCCTTGGCTATGATTGCTCCTAGTCCTGAGACTTGGACTCAAGTCAAAGCTTCTTGCGAGGTACAACTACAAAAATTGTTGTTGAATGACCCTTTCTAAATTCAAAAACGTCTTTAAAATGTATAACCATGAGACGTACATTCCAGACTCAAAATATAGTAACCTCAGAAGGACTTAATGGCGGCTTACGTATCTTAGCAGTCATCACGCTCCTTGTCTATGAAGCTGCTTACGCATTAGGACTGGGACCAGTCCCACTTTTAACACTCAGTGAAGTTTTTCCAGCAGCAATAAGAGGAAAGTGCATAAGTTTCTGCGTGATTATTTTATGGATTGGAAACATAATCGCCACTGAGTCGGTCGTCAAAATGACCAGTTAGTATTTTCAACAATTTCCTATCAATTGAAATCCCATCGTTACATTGAACGATATTGAAAATAATAAGTACAATACTTTTCGTTCTTTTTCAGAATCAATGACTCTAGCTGGCTCGTACCTATTCTACAGTTTCATGTGCCTGGTCACAATATTCTACGTTTTCTTATTCATTCCTGAAACGAAAGGAAAGTCGCTTCATCAGATCGCCCAAGAGTTACGTAAGATATCATTGCCCACGCGTATCTGTAATAATTTACGCAGTCTGCCACTCGTCTGTCATATCGAATGGTTGAAGAAGTATGGCGAAAAAGGTAGCACCGGACAAAGCACTTTGATATGAGACTAATCAGAACTTAACGATGCGTCAATGAATTTTGCACTGAACGTACAGTAAATAGTCTCGAGTAATTATATATCTGTAAAGGTCGAGAAAGAGTTAGCACGTTCAAAAAACCATAAATAACGATTCCGTCGATTGAACTCCTTAAGTGTACCCGCACTTTTTTAAACTAACAGGAGAAAAGAGAAACAACGAAAGTAATAAGGATAATCAGTATCCTTTCTTAAAATGCTAAAGAAATTGTTACACGTACTCGTGGACTCTACGCTGTAACAATCTTTACATAAATAATCCAATCTCAATAGCAATATTTCGCAATGAACGATATTCGATTTGAAGCACTTCTACTCGTTGGTTACATTCTCATTTTTTATAAGAATCACTTTATCCACGTCATTAGCCTACAATCATCTCCATCATTTCACGACGTGACCCTAAAATTGTCATGATTTCAAGTGATAACAAGTAATACGTTATAATACTTCGTAGAATACGTGTGTATTAATAATCAGTTAGATAACAACGTATCTAGAATGATAATATACGTAATGCAGGTGGATATGTATAAGATAGTTGGCCAATTGTTACACAGTGATTATCGTTGAAAGGCAGGTCAGTGTCAAATTAATGGTAGAAGAAGTTTATATAATATAGAAAAATATTTATTATTAATCACAGAAGCCACGTAATACTTACAGTATTTTTTAAGGGAAAATGGCGCAAGGTGCAAGCATGACGTTAGTCAATTGTACTGTAAGGTAAAGAGACGTTTTTTTTTCTTTTACAAAATGAAAATTCTTTTTAAAAATCTAGGAGCATCGACGTCCATGAGGTTATTCAAAATTCGACATTGGTCATTATTTCATTGTTCACGAAAATCGCCCTGCTTTAGGCTCAATGCTAGTCATAGATTTGGAATCATTAAATCAAAATAGATAACAGATATCTATAATTCTCAATTTTTGTTCATTTCTTTTTGCCAAATATTACACATAGTATCGAACAAACCTAAAGCCACTGTAAACCCCCTTATTACAATACTATAGATGCATATGACACAAACTTATTTGACGTCTACTAATTGTACGTAGAGCAGCACGTACGTAATTAATATTAAATTGATAATTCTTAATGAAGGGATTACATTTAACACTACGATACCCTTTGAGCATTGCAGAGAAGGCGAATTACGTTTATAAATATATACAGTCAATATAATTAACGTAAAAGTAAAGAGAATCATACATAATGCATTAGAATTAGACACTTCATTTCCATCCGCAAAAATAAAAATACTGTGATAACGTTTAATCGCAGGAAAGAATTAATTAACGTTTTGAATAATACAATTTTTATGAAAAGTATACATCTAACACTATCATCTTCTAAGCACTCTCGTGTGATTTTCGACTTGACACGAAACAAGCGTTCAAATATTTTTCAAAATTCTAACGTGACGTATATGACAATTATAAAAGATCATTAACAATAATCATTAAATTATTACAACACATTAAACAATATTAACACTGAGCATCGTGTACAACACACGACCGTGAAGTGCTATCGTGCCATTAATTGTTTATCAATAATGTATTATATAAAAAATGCTTTTTTGAGAAATAAAAGAATATAGTTAAAACTTTATTTAAAATAGGCTCCTTAATTATTATTGTAAAATAGAATACCAGCTGCTGTAACAGACAGTCACACTAATGAAGTCTTTACATGTATAGATTCGCCATATCTTTTTCTTTTTATTCATATCCCACGATTGCCAATCAAATTAGTGAGACTTAAATTACGTCATTACTATTTGTAATACTTTGCTTGTACATTAGTATGTCATAACTGTTAAAATATACCTCTGCGCAATCTATAAATCGATGATATACTCTGCAATTGACTCTTGCAAGAGATATTTATATACAAATATTCCATAGTATCAAAATTATATTAAACGAATAGAAGAATAAAAATATATAATATATATATGTGTGTATATATATATATATATATCATAAAGTTATATTTATATACACACCCCGTGTGGTGGACGGATGGGTTTTTCAGACCTTAATAAATGCAGCTTCGACAAGCATAAAAGTATATAAAAAAAATAATAAATCAAAAATCTCTTAACCGGGCATTTCTTGACGCAGTGACAAAGACATACATGTGTATATTATACGATCAATATAAATTGGTAAAAAATAGTTATTGGAACCTTGTGGGAGTTATAAGAAATACCAGCTTTTAGATAACGAGCAAGGCTGCGCACCTAGGCTCTAACTATACTGGCCGTGAGATCGAAAATTGTAATGATTATTATAATTATAATTAATATTAATAAGATATAGGAAAGAAGTTAATGGAAGACATCAAAGTCTCTAGATATGCGTATATCATTCAGAGAGCCTTAGGAACGACTTTGGCATTTGGACTGAACGTCCTCTTCTTACCCCAACTTTGAAACTTTGGCGGCGACAATACCTGCTTCAGAAAGATGCTTCTCCTTTCCTTCAGACTGGACTCTTCGTTGCTGAGCGATACGTTCATGTCGTGCTTCTCAGGTTCAGCACAATTTTGTCCATGTATGAAGCTGTTCCAGTGGCTGATACGACTGGTGACAGCAGGTGTAAGATTTTCCTTGTCATAAAAAACGGCAAGTCTATCAACCGGCGATTTTTTGAAAATAATCGACACTTGATCATCCAATTTATTTGATTTCGATTGATCCGCCTGAAAGGAGGTGCCGTTACGCGGTGTCACCGTATAAACGAGCCGCTCCGATTTCGGCTCGAATCTCTCCCTTAATAAGGAAAACTTCCTTCTGGGACGATTAACGGTTCTTCTACGTTTTTCGCAGGGTACGTGACCAGTTATCGAGTAGGGACTGTTTATCAGCGCCACCTGGGACGATCCTTTCTTTGACAACATCAGGGAAGACGTTAAATCACTTGGACAGAGGGTCAATACATTTGCCGATAGAACGTTCTTCTCCTTGTCTTGTACAGTGCTTGACTTTTCTGTTGACGTTGATAAATTTGATTCCTGATGATCAGAAGGCATTTGCACATTTACGGAAGATGCTTTTGGTAATTTTGATAGACGCCCAGTACCTTGACACGTCATTTCCGAAATTGTGGATTCGTCCTTCTGTACGACCGTTGCGTCCTGAGCCGAGATCAGTGAAGTGCTCAATGAAAATTCTCGAGTATCTTCGGACTTTTCAGGAACCAGCGGTTTCATCTCAACGTAGACATTATGTTCCTCCAAGCTACTCAGATGCAAACTGTCTGCTATGCTGCTGTATTTTTGCATCTTTGCTTTGGGTCCAAGAATCGGTGAATCAGAAAGGATAGCATTGATTAAAGGCGTCTTGCCACTGGAACCAGTCGAATTGCGCTTGGCCAATTCACGTATGATTTCAATTTCGTCATTTCCGCCAGCAGAAAACGACATGCAGTCGTCCAATGACCGTAGGATGTTCCCGTCGCGTGTTTCTACCTCGTGGAAGTCACCTGAGGATGACAGCGCCTTGGCAAGCTGTGCTTTCCTCAAGAATATCTTAGGCTCAAGGTCTTCCCACTGCAATTCAGTCCTATGGTAAACGTGTCTCGGTGAATTCTCTGCTGTGCATTTACGTATTTCATCTATGGTCGCCACAAGAGTACTAGCCGTACAGTTTGTCGCTCTTTTCAAGTTAATACCTATATCCAAATTGGTCGAGGAATCTTCACGTTCCTCCATTATGGTATCCAACGCAAACATCCCACCCTTCTCATCGATGACTATAGGTTTGGCCATGAAGAGACTGGTTTCCTGTTCATCGATATCCGACAATGCTGGCATCGAGGCTTCCTCATTCGACATCAAGCTCGGTTCCCAATCGACCAGGTCGTACACCAGAGTGTCCATGTAATCGTCCTGTCGAGAGCGTTTCGAAGCTCTGCGCGCTAGAGGACTTGCACAAGTTGCATCCGAAAATTCAGAGCTAAAAGTCGTCCCAGTCGCAGAGCTTGTCAAAGTATCCCTACGTCTGTCTCTGACGACGCTATCGTCATGGATGTAGGTCTCTATATCGGTATATCCTTTCCAACTACGTATACACCAGGGAGGTCTGGCTATACCCAGAGGACACACATTTTCATAGTCATGAACCGACGTCACGTGACTCATTGTCTCTTCCTCCTTTTGAGCTGGTTCCTCCAAAATTTTAACTTTCTCCAGAGTCTTATCACTTGTCTCGCTCACTGGAGTGTTCAAACGTTCCCTGTCCTTTATATTATCAGGTATTTCATCGATATTCATTACCGAAATGGCTGCTTCCAAGGCATTGTTATAAGAGTCCAAATCCTCTAATTTCAATTCAGCTTCGGATCCGGTCGCTACGATTGGTCTACGTCGCTCAAACGTAAAGTTCTTCTCGACGTAATTATCCTCATTGGTCACTAGTTCTAATCCAAGCTGAGCCGAGGAGCAAATGCCTCTGCGCTTCTGAGATCTTAAAGTGGATTTCGGATCCTCAGATTTCGATTCGTCGGTATCCAAGCCCAGTTCAACTGGTGAACAAATTCCTCTTCGCTTCTGACGTCTCAGGGTCTCTACTATGTCGCACTCTATGTATTCATCCTCTACGATCACTTCCGCAGCACTCGAATCGAACTTTGTCTGACAAGCATTTGCCTCGCAAGATTTCTTAGCGCACAGAACGTCGTATTCCATATTTTGCGCTGTTACCGTGTTTGTTGAATTTTGAACAGTTTCAACTTGATAATCCACGGATTTATTGCTCTCCACCAACGCGCATACCGTCGTTTCACCTTCGTCGGATACCTCGCACGTACCATTTATTATACCTTCCTCTTCCACGAACTCTGAACTCTGCACGATATTCGTCAGCAGAGATTTCTTGTCAGCCGTTATATCATCCGACATTATCGTTACTTCCGAAAGATCTATCGTGCGCGGTATGGAGACTGCAGAACCGTGCCAGCGATGTTTCAACGATCTTAATGTTCCTGTCCTCTCAATGGTACTGTTCGACGCCATTTCTGGATCCATCTTGACGTTCTTGCAAACCCTCCCATGACCCACAGAATGAAATTTACTATAGTACAGCAAAAGACTGACTAAACCTATTAACGTACCACCAGCTATAGTGATGGTCGATGTTGTCATTACGTCGGATTTCACGGTATCCTTAAAGTAAACAACGTAGATCGTAAGGAAGATCGTATTTTGTGCCACAGTTATCAGGTAAAAGGCAAGTACACGATAACGAGAACGACCTTCACGTAAATTGAAGAAGTCGAAGCAATATATCACACCAATTATGCAATTGTAGACACGTTCCTCCCAGACAGTTGGGCAGAAATTGGTATTTTGAAGTATCACCCAGATAGTCATGCATGACCAATGTATTCCTGAAACAAGTAACGAGTGTTGTGATTTAAAAATATGTCAATTTTATATTCGTATTAGTAGACACAAGCGTTTTAATCCTTGGTAAATGGCAATTGTAAGTCTGACGTACCCAGAAGCAGAAAAATCCATTTTCTCACACAGACTGCAGCCAGGACCAATGCTGCCATTCTGGAGGCCAGCATCCCACCTCTCCAGAAAGCTTGAAGAGTCAGTCCTGGCCATGTTGACTCGTGTTTATCTGTGGGCATTCGGCGCATAGCCCTTGTATAGGCAGCTACAGCCCACGCCATAGAGCAGAGTGATGTGGTAGCTGAGACACCTAAAAATATTTTTAAATTCTTCAATCGTCTAAGAGATTAGATTCTCTTATAGCTCAAAACTCATTTGACATTTTGAAGTTTGTTTTAAAAATATATACTGACAGTAGTGTACAATGGAATTGCCTAGCAAGGTATGTGATTTTTTTAAATGCAGGTATATACACGCAAGATGCTTCATAAGCAGGAAACAGTTGACAAGGGTTGATAGCTGATGAAAGATAATTATTATAATCAGATTTCTCTCAAACGAACGTATCCCTTTATCTTCAAGAAAACAGACAAAAATGATCTCAGTTCTTCCTCAGTTCTAGTACCGAGAGCATCATTTCTGTCTTTTCCAGAATCTATTCAGTGTATCTATGTGATGAACAAGATGAAAGTGGTTGATGAAAAAAAATTAATATATAGATCAGTGTGATATAATAGATGCTGGTTGTGTGCACAGAATTGTCGAGGATGAATCATGACGAAAAAGTTAATATTAATACAGGTAATAAGTGCCTGTTTATTTCAATGAATTTTTCCTTTGTTTATTTATTGCTCTATAGTGATTGAAAATAACGTTATGGTCCTAAAAGCTTATGAGCGTATTTTTTTGGATTTTCTGTTGTCTGCAAGCTGAAGGCTGCGCGTAGAGTGTAGAATATCCGGATGCGAAAGGATAGCGTTCTGTTATCTACGCCAGGAGATATTTTGCTTCCTGCAAACAATTTTTAGGAGACTGTTCATTGAAACTTGATAGAAATACATAACGCAATAATTAAAAAATAGTTTACTGTATGTTTTTGACTTTTTTTTTAGAAGTGTTCAAGACTTTGGCGACTCGTTTTAATTTTCACGCTTCTTTTCCTCTTGGCGATTTTACAAAGACCACGGTACACGGGGAATAGATCGCAGAACTTGCAGCAATCGAACAATTTTGTAACTACTACGAGCCTGTTAAATTATACAGACATGAAAACTAATCGGAAAACATTGTCCAGTGCATATTCCACATCAGCGGAAGAGCTGATAAATGTCAGAGTTGAACTTGAAAGCAGGAAGAAGCTGTTGGAGAATGTCTGTGCAAATATTCAGGATGATACAGGGTCTATAGAAAAGGCAATTTCAAAGATGATTATTAATGAGTACGTATCAGAAGAGATTAAAATAATAAAGATATGCCTTTGTTAAATGATACTGATGGAAGTTTTTTTTTCATATATAATATTTATAGGAATCATGGAATATCCTGGTGTCCAATATACAAAGCAGCCAGTTCAACGTGGATGAAGCATTTTGTTACTCTCGCAGGATTACTATCAGGCACAATTATGGACTTAATAAGGGAAAATTCAATGCAAATGAATTCAATAGTGCGGCAGGCATATATTACAAACACAAATTCAAAAACAATTCTTAAGGTATATACACAACTCTTATTTTGTTATACGCGTGCATCTATAGAACGGTATTAAGATTCAATATATTTTAAACAGGTGCTTTTGTTTATTTTGTAGAAAATGAATAAAACAAAAAAATTTCTAATTGTGCGACATCCATTCGAACGTCTCTTGTCCGCTTATAGAGATAAATTGGAGTACATGGAAGGTCGTGAATATTATTATGAGCGTTTTGGGTACCATATCAGACAAAGCTATCGTAAAGACAAGAGGGATGACTCTTGGGGAAAGCAGGAACCAACTTTTGAGGAATTCCTTCAATTCGTTGCAGAAGAGAGACAGTTTGATGAACATTGGATGCCTTACTACAATGCTTGTAGACCCTGTGGTATTAATTATGAATACATTTTAAAATTCGAAACGCTACAGAGAGATCAGAATTTCTTTATCCAGGAAAATGGCCTTGCAAATTGGCTGAGTACTGTAGAAAACGTGGAAAATACAAACCCAAGAGGACCCACAACAAGTGTTATTGTAAAGAAATATTTTAAAAATATTCATAAGTCTGTGCTAGAAAATATTTATAAGATTTATGAAATGGATTTTAAGTTGTTTTCCTACTCTCCGGAGAAATATTATATGATATCTATAGGTGATATACACAAAAACGAAAGTATATCGTAAATAAATTATAAGCTGCTTTTACTTGATTCAGTACAAACACTATTATAATCGTGTATTTTATTATAGCTATTTCAAAAGTAAGATTTTACAACGTTATTGACATGCATTTGTAGTGGAAATGTGTAAAACTATGCTCATTTCAGCCCTATAAGAGGAATCCTATATTTTTAAGATACATTAATTTTAATGAATGGCAAATAGCTTACTTGTCCAAAATGGTATGTCTTGTAATACAGCCATGATATAAAGTTGTAATAAGAGCTGTGGTGCAGCTTCCATAAATGATTCAAAGAGATGTAACATACAAATATCACTTTGTTGCCTGCGTACCCAATCTTTTGGTTTTGTCGACTGTCCACACCTTAAAGACTCTATTGCAGCACACAATAAAACTACATATCTAAAATGAAAAACAAAACATGCATACACCAAAAGCCATAAATTGGAGTAAAGATCACAAACAATTTGCAACGATACAAAATATTTATGCATAACTTAAACTGTCGCAAAGTTTAAATAAACATATATCTGAGAATAAATACCTGTGCACTATGCCCAATAGTAATAAATGCAGCATCCAATGAATTGCAGTGAGAGAACCATCCGTATGATGCCATCTTAGACTAAACAATTGAATAATGGCAGTCGGTACCAGCATAAGGCCCAGAGTAAAATAAGCCCAGAACAAATGGCCATCGGACAAATACTCAGCAAATGCTAATCCATCTAAATAAGCAAATGAAAAACATAATTAGCAATGAAACCTCTACACTCTATTGTTTAATAATAAGTGAAGAACACAGTTAGATTAATTTCTAATTGAAAAGACAATAGAAATGAAACCGTAAAGAATTATTAAAACCATCTAATTTTTATACTGTCCTGTTGGACGGCCCAGCGTACGAAAAGTAAATACAGAAGGAAAGTTTGGCGGGAGTAGTATTGTTTTTCTCGATCACCTGTTACGATATCAGCCAGGAAAGTACCGACGGATAGGATGTAAAAGAAAACGTCGAGTGCCTTGAAATCATAGCTTTCGATTTTGATTCGAGTGTCCGCGGGCAATTCGTTCGTCACCATTTCCTTGCTCAAAACGCTCTCCGATTTTGACTCCGTGGCCGCCATCTTCTCCGACAGACACCAGGTACGAGGATTTACTCGGTTTACGTTTTCTTTAAAAAGAAAAACTCCCGAGCAGAACGATCTAGTTTCTCGTCCTCTGTTCGTTGAGTCTCTCCTCTTTCACATCTCGCATATAACATCATTATGCGCGATTACGCGAATATATTACTGAATGCTGGAGAAACTCGCGTGGATGCTACCGCGACGCGATTTCCGTAGAGAATACTCAAAGGTTCCTTTCAGAGATTCCAAACAAAGCAAAGAGCAAGAAGACAACAGGCGCATCCCAGATCATTATTGAGAACGTCCACTTTTTCTTCACTGGACTATTCAAATTTTGATGAAAATGTCATCATTTTACAATCTATCCAACAGTTTCAGATACATCTTAAACTTCAATCAGTCCAATACGTTTTACCATGGGAATACTTTCTGAAAATGTAAGTGTGAAAAATGTAAAACTACAATTATTTTCATTCAATATTTCAATAACAGTTTAACAAAAAATCATGTATTTTGGAGTACAGCTTCAGGCATGTCGCATAAGAGTGATTAATGATAATCAGATATCGTCAAGCATGATGCATGATATGCATGATATATTAATTTCAATTGCGCGGCACTTTGGGATAGCATGCATAATTTTGGTTCACATGTAGTCGTTAAAATATTAATTTTACGTTCAATTAACGTAAGAATTTACTTATAAATAAACATGGTTTCGATTGCGTAGCCAGTATAGAGCAAATGCAATAATATGGACTGCTTTTCCATCGTTTAAAAAACATTTAAGTGTACAGTACAATGTTCTGTCCGCCATCATGGTTCTCATTGTGCTGTTTTCATAACCGTGATTGTTCACCGGCAAATTTTTCTCTATCATAATAAATATTTTTCATAGTCTCTTCGACGCAGACAATTTAGAGCATAGTTCTTCATATAGATAAATGTTTACTGATAATGATTATACAGTCATTTTTACTCGATCAAAGCCTATCCACAATTTACACCAAAAAATACCAAAAAAGCGATGCTCAATACCAGTAGATAAACCACGTAATCTTCCGTACTGTTATGGTTGTCTATTCAACGATTATGGATGTAAGCAATGACACATAATTCAGTACGAGTCAGGATAATCTCTATTTATTTCTATAAAGAGGATCGCTTCTTGCTGCACCTTTCAAAGTTATATTTACGGTAAATGTCGGAGAAACTCTGTAGTTGACTGTTAAGCGCATATTGCTCACACGTCACCGCCATTTGCCAGGTAGCTGCAAATAGCACTACACCAGAGATGAGTAGGGAGATTGCCAATGAGCCTGTTTTTGGTGGTCTCAATTTTTCTCTGGTTTCGGCGCGCCACCTTAGCGGAGGGCCCTCAAAGCAGTTTCACGTTTGTTATTGGTCGAATGAATTCGTGTGTTCCTCGAGATCCACGATTTTAAACCGGGTGAATATTCAAGTAGGGAGACTTGAATCCACCCTTTCTTACTGCATATTACATAAACCGTAGTAATGAGGTAGTAAATTTTGCCGATGTTAATTCCCTTAATATCCATATGAAGCTTTGTAAATAATAGAGTGAGCAAATAAAACTTTAAACAAACCCTCGAACGTGGGTAACTACAGAAATATGAAGTTTCCAAATTCTACAGCACAATGGCTCGGTAGTGAACGTGCTTGGTGCTGGCTTAACGTCCGACAATCTCGAGTTCGGAACTCACGTCTCATCCCTTTTTTTTTCTTAATTATCAACTATGCATTGGTTCACCTAGTTAACTTAAGATTCATTAAGTATATGATTATATTAGTCTACAAATATTGTATTATATTACACGCGTAGTATTACTATATAGACACGACCAATCAAAAACGTGGAACTGCTTCGAGGGCCCTCCGCTAAGGTGGCGCGCCGAAACCAGAGAAAAATTGAGACCACCAAAAACAGGCTCATTGGCAATCTCCCTACTCATCTCTGGTGTAGTGCTATTTGCAGCTACCTGGCAAATGGCGGTGACGTGTGAGCAATATGCGCTTAACAGTCAACTACAGAGTTTCTCCGACATTTACCGTAAATATAACTTTGAAAGGTGCAGCAAGAAGCGATCCTCTTTATAGAAATAAATAGAGATTATCCTGACTCGTACTGAATTATGTGTCATTGCTTACATCCATAATCGTTGAATAGACAACCATAACAGTACGGAAGATTACGTTCCTGTACCACCTAATACCAGTATTAATTTAGGATACAATAAACAATGGACAAAAATAATAAACGAGAACTATTTGAGGCTGTGGAAAGGCAAAAGGAGCAATTGTTAAAATGTGAGAACCAGCTTCGAGGTGCGTTGACACTTTAATTCGACATGATTGAATAGCGTCTGCAGCGCGCCATTTAAACATATCATTTTAGTAATCTTATGGATCTCGTATAATATTGTTATTACGTTTCAGATATAGGTCCGGCATATGAAGAACTTGTTAAAGAGAAAGAAGCATTAGAGGATAATTTGAAGGCATTAACGATCAAGATGAATAAAATCGAAGAATCTGGCGAGACGAGTACTCCAAAATCAGCGACGGTATTGCATTACTATTTCCAATATTGCATTCTATTAAGTCTTTAATTGATTCCAATTAGTATTTTTAAATGGTTTTACAATCAGTCTACAGAAGTTAAAAAAGAGCAAAGGAAACCAGAGACTGTGAGTCAATTGAAGACCCAACTCGGAGTACTTATGACTTCATTAGCTACACTCTCTGCTGAGAAATCGAAAATGGAAGCAAATTTTCAGTCCGATAAGAGGCAATTAAGAAGTGAGCGTGAGGAGGTAGAAAACAGTCGTATTGTTATCACTTAATAGGTATATTTTGCTTCCAAGGTAAAACATTAACATGTCTGTTAATAATAATTGGATTTCAGTGTGAAAAAGTAATACGGGATCTAAAAGAAAAATTAAAAAAAGCACAGAAGGATATCCACTCGGAAGTGGAACATGTGAAGTATAAATTAATTATGGAACGCCATGAACGAGAGAAGGAGCAAGCTGATCATTCTGCAATGATGAAGTACATAAATATATATTGAAACAGTAATTTTTGTAACATTGGGATATGAAATACACTATCACAGATGTATGTACATAATATATTTATAGAGAATTGCAAAGATTAGTGAGTGACGAACGCCGTGCAAAAGAGCAATTGGAAATGCAAGTAAAGGAATTAAAAAGTCAAGTATCGGGTAAATCTCAAAGAAGAATTCTGGAAGCTGAATTAGAAATTGCAAGAAATAAGCTCAAAGAAGCAGAAGCGGCCGCCAAGGAAACACCGCCCTTGCTTCTATCCTTGCAAGCAGAAATGGCCACTTTGAAACGACAACATCGTAATGCGATTCTTGAAGTAAGTTTGATTATTTATGGATAATTTTATTACTTTTTGTTAATGCGATTAAACTATGATTTTGTATAGGAACAAAAGAGAGCTGGTGCTGCAGAACAACAAGCCAGAGTTCTTGCGATGACGCATGAAGCTAGAGTAGCAGGTTTGGAAGCCCGACTAGCTGAACTGTCAGAAACTGTTGGAGGATATGATAGGCTCAGACAACAGGATCAGCAAGCTATTCAAAAGCTGAAAGATCAGCTGGCCAATTTGCGGGAAAAGGACCAAAAAGAGCCGCAACTGACTGAACTGAATATTGATCCACAAGAAATTATTGGAAAAATTAAAAAATTATATTCTCGGTTACTAGACTGCGATAATAAAGGAAATGGTTCATCACATGCTAAAGGTATTCCAATGTCGTATTTATGTTTTAGGATAGATAATAAATGACATTGTTTACTTATAGCTCTGCTGCATAGTTTAAATTTGTATGACAGTAATCAAGATCTGGAGTATAAGGAGAAGTATGAGTCTTTGTCTCTAGAATTTGAGGATTACAAACAACAAACTACATCAAAATTAAATGCATTGACTTCAGCTAGAATGCAGAGTGCTCGATATCATGCTAGTAATATGATGGAGTCTAACGAGAGAGAAAACAATAACACTCAGTTACATCTTGCTAAGACACATAATAGAAACTTGGAGGAGAGAATAAGAATGCTGAATGCAGAGATTGCTGGAAAAGAAAGAGAATGCAAAGCTAAATTAGAACAGCAGCAGCAGGTTATAATAGCAAAAATTTACGTAAAAAAACTCTAAACGGTATATTGTATTTTTAGTTATCTTATTGTTTTTCTAGTTAATTCAAGATGAACGTATAAAACACGAACGAATCTTGTCTCAAAAAGACAACGAATATCGTGGTAAAATAGCTGCTTTGGAGCAGCAACTTTTACGTCAAAGGGAACGATCTTTAGCCGTGATAGAGGAGAAGGACCAAGAAATCGTTACGCTAAAAACATCATTTCATGCATTATTGCCAAATAAAGGTTCTTCGTTTTCATCTGAGGAAAAATCGACATCATCTTCATTGGAAAATGCATCGGAACCAACCACGGATTTGGTGACAGGATTGTTAACGGGGGACAGCCCTCCAATGTTGCATTACGCCCAGGAATTAGCAAGAAGAGAAGTTCAAGTATCGGCACTACGAAAAGCTAATATGAAATTAGAAGAACAGCTGAGAGAAAACCAGAGAGACTTCTTTCATGCAGTTGAAAAACATAAAGATGAATTGAAAGGATTGCAAGCTCAGATTACAAGGTATTTCATATCGTTTCACTGTAAAATATAGACAAGATTTCGTTAAATTAAAATTAATATTTTGAATTTTTTATAACATTCAGACTCGAAGCTTGCAAATCTAGAGAAGGCGCCAATTTGGAATATTTAAAGAATGTGTTCGTCAATTTTTTGATCACAAATGACTCCTCCAGTAAACGACATATGTTGAATGCTATTTCTACAGTGTTGCATTTTACTCCAGATGAGATGGATAAAATTCGTCATTACAAGTGGTAATTGTAAGACTAAAAGACATCTGATCACAGGTTACTTCAATTTACATAACGATTTACAATTGTCATCAACAGTAGGCAGGAACCATACTGAAATAAGTAAAATATCAAAGGTTCAATAAAATTAACTTCGTTGGTAAATTTTATAAGCAAGTAAAGATATAAAATAACCTTGTATAGTGATACTCTCAAGGAAATGATAAAAGGATTGTAAAAAATGTATACGTCCATCTTAATTATTCGAAACAATTGATGTAAAAGTAGAATTACTATTACCACACCATGAAATCTTGTGCAATAATACATTCGTACATTTTTACAGTTTATATATATATATATGTATATTTATAAATAAATTGTATTAATGTGGTATGCAAGAAGATTTATGTAACCGACCATCGTAGTTCTTAAATCAACTAAATTATAATTAACGTTAAGAATCTGCCACTGAATAAAGTACTATAAGAGTGCATGAATTCTTGAAGATTTTTAGTAATCTGAAACGATATTGCATGTAAAAGCATTAATGCCCTTGATATTATTGTATAAAAATGTACAATATTTTATATACAATTCTACATTGAATTTATTACATCACTTTTTCTACATGTAGTGATCGCATTCTTGGCATTGAAAAAATATTCTCAAGCGACTTCTACCTATTACTACGTGTATCCATGTTGGACTAAACGTACCTACTACGATATTAATTCCACGAATAATAATAGTCTACAAATAATTGTATATATATATATATATATATATATATATTTTTTTTTCAATATCTTGTCATTTATTATGATTATTATTGCCTGTGTTATGTACAAAGAGTCTAGCTGAAAATGACTGCGCCTAGGATGTGCAAATTTATTATCGAACAAGAAGAAATAATAAACTTATTAGTAATGTCTTTCGTAATTGTAGCAATTTATAAAGTAATTCAGATTGCGGATGTATCAGAATATCATATTACATTGTCCCTTATCAAATGAGTCATAAAAGACACTCCCTCTCTCTCGTTCAGTTAATAAAATAGTGCTACCTAAAATCAATGTATTAAATAATGAACTCACATAAGCGAGAAAATAATACCTGTTCCATATGTATGCCACATAAGTTTCATATTTTTAATCGTAAATGCTTCATTTACAAAAGTTTCTTAACGACTCTTACATTTAGCCGAATAACAAATAAAAGCACGTAATCAAGTGTATTAACAGCTTGAAGAATGATTAGATAAATATTATTTCAGATGTCAATATCTGACATGCATATCGTTACCCAACTCGAAGAAACGTCAGAGCTCTGAATGTATTTGAAAGATTGAATAACAAGAAAAAGCATCCATTGGAAATTTCTTAAGTAAATTATTACTTTCGTACATGCACGTATTACGATTAAAAATTTGAAGTACTCGTTCGAACACTCTGAAGGCATATTGTGTCTACCGCGTCGGTCACTCGAAGCTCAGAACATCGGCGATTGTCAACACAGATTACAACAGTTTATTCAATAACACTTGTTTAATATTTCATAATCAGACATCAGTATATAATATATATGCTTCTGTTATATACATCTGATTACTATATTATTCTGTGTATAATATTTCATACTTTATCCGCTTCCTCCCAACTGAATCATCAATTTAAAATTTTGTTTTATACCTTTATAATGCTAAATTTACAGAGGCCCTTAACAAGTGTTTCCCCGAGAACAATTCATTCCAATGTTTCTTAAAAAAATGTATCTTATGTGCACTTTTGTATAGTCTTACGTTTACCAATTCTAATTAGACATACCGAAAATACAGTTTTTTTTCTCATACAACGTTGCCGAAATATTTCACAAAAATTGACCAACATCATAACAACCTTCTCACTGTCCAGAAATAAGATGACAATCTCTCATATAAGATTTTATCATAAGAAGTTCAATTGAAAGAATCTTCTATAAATTATACACGTGTTATACTATTTTCTTTAAGAACGAGAAAGAAGATAATCGTCGTATCATCAGATTGGTGCATCAAACTAATTTTTATTCGAAACACCGCATATGATTGCAATAAATCGCGGAACTTTTGAATAATTTGTAAAAAAATATTAACGTAGATTATATCTTCGTAAAATACGGAGGAGCGGGATTATTACGTAATTGTTTTCCGAAACGTATTTAACATTATTATAAAAGAAGTAAACTTATTACTGGACATAATCTCAATAATTATGTTCGATAAGGCATGACAGTGTGAACTCTACACATCGAAAGTGCACGATTCTAAACGAACTAATCTTTCTAATTCGAGTAGCAGTGCCTTTACTCATCTTAAGCTCTCTACTTATAGCTTACACCATATTACTATCAATTTTCTTACACCGATAACTTTATTTTTGCGTGAATTTTGTCTGTAGGGAAACTTGCTCGGGGAATATTTCACAAGGAAATATGCTTGCCTGACAATTATTTTATTACTCTTTTTACTTCGGAGAAACCATCTGTCGCTTGTAACAATGCTGTGCAATGTGACAATGCGCAATGAACTATGGGAGCAACGTACGAATACGAATTAAGTGAATCTAATTGGATAGCAGACCAATTGCAAAACCCGATTAAAAATTTGGCATTTAAGTCGGTTTTACACGAGGAATTCTATGTCTCCTTACATACAACGTTACCTCAATTTCTCTAATAAGACTATATCCTCTTTGATAAACATCACATAAATTGAATACTGTAACAATGCAAGTACGGAGCTTTCGTTCGTGTAACGGAAAACATTGGTATGCAGATGGTCTTACATGTAAGGTCTTAGCGCGAATGATTTTCTGTGTTCCTGTTCCTGTTTTGCCACATATGTCACAGTCCACTTGAGATGATTCTTTCTGTGCGATTCCGTCCTTCCCAGTTTCCTTGTTCGTCCCCAACCGGTATTTACAACAATTAGCACAACAATATTTGCGTGTCAGAATGGCCGCATTGGCATTTTGGTCCGACATTCTGGTTCTCGTTTATACGCATTGGCATCAAAATCTACCAAGCGCAACTAATCATTCTGAAGAATCGATTAAAATCTTTATAAATAATTATGGCATACAACTGTATAATTTTGGAGACAGTATAATTGGCGTATGAACAACACGTTACGCTTAATATAATTGTAAAATTTAAACGATAAGTTTATCAATTTTTCGACAAGAAGTCGTTTTTTAATGAACTTTACTAAAAACCGTAAAACAACCATGCCATCTAAAAATGTATACCCGAATACTTGAAATTAATACAGCCAATAAAACGGCATCGGAAGAGATACTGGGAAGTCAGCTATTTTAACATTAATAATAATAAATTATTTACAGACTGAGGACTGCACCTAATTGCTCGTATGTAGATAAATTGAGAAGAACAGCGAATGCAACGAATGATTGTTGGATTGGTAAAGATTTTAATGCCTCCTTGAAATATCTTCGGTTGTTTTTTTTTCTTTTTTTTTTTTTTTTATAAAATGTCAAATATATATTGATCATATTATAATTTTTTTCATACATTTATATTTTATGATATACGTATTGTATGTTTATGTTCTGTGCGCGATATCGCTCACGCGGTTATACATGTACGTTCGTGTATTAATTTTCTTCTCAAATATATTATATACAGAAGAATTTACTGACATTTCATCACTTCTATATGTGGTATTATTTTTCTTTGTATGTGTGGTATATTTTTGCGTAACATTATACTCGATTGATATATAACAATTTTAAAAATATTTCAAAATTAAACAGGAGACAATATAATAATAATTATAATAAGAGATAATAGCAACTAATAGCATAATAAAAATACGATAACGCAAATAATAATATTAAATGTGTAGGAGGGCGCAATTGAGTGTTCGCTTTCGTAATGGAGGAAGCGGAGCTACTTAGGATCGAGACAGGAAAAAAAAAATTACACATGGTGATAGAAATAGTCACTGGGTGTAGCCGCCATTAAACTTTACCTCTGCTTGCCTAGATCACAGTCACTTGTATGGCTGCTAAGTCACGGAACACATTTCATCACCATTTAGTAAGAAAAAAAATTAACGAAAAAAGACGTAGGAATTATGAGGAAGAAAAAAAAAGTGAGAAAACAAGAAAAGAGCGTGGTAGACGCGTGAAAATGAAAGAAAAAGAGAGACGTGGAATAGAAGGAAGAAAATATCAAAGAATTTTTGAAAATCTTATCAATACTGGAAAGTAGCTTAAAAATTTACACAAGTAGAAAATATAGTAATTCTTTTAATTCTTTGAGCGGGGCAAGTACGAGGGACGCTCCCGACCATGTTCAGACCTAATTCAAATTTAATTCTTCTCCTTTCAGTTATCTTCACGATTTTCGAGTCATCTTTAGAAAGATGATAAGCTACGCGATGAGTAATGCTATGATACGATCATAATGAGCACGGCGACACTTCCAGACCTACGTATTTGATGAAGAACTTCAAACACAAACCATAGGAAGGATTTCGACGTTACATTCTGCCGATCGGATCATCTGGTCTGCAAAATGTGGGCTTGTGTATAATAGATAATTCCACGATAGGTTGCTCTTCAAAATATACAAGAGAGTCTTTGAAAAGTTCCTTTAGATTGGAAAAGCTTTAGTTTAGTTTAGACTTCCAACAATCCAACGATCCAACAATTCTTTAGTTTGGACTTTCCAAGAACTTTTTAAAGAGCTGCCGTATTAATTGAGAAACACAACGCAGAGTATCAATAAAATGGTTATAACAATATTGATAATTGAATTTATAGGGTCTGGAAGATCAAATAATTTAAATGCGACATTAATAAATAAGTATTAATAACGTTATTTCGTTGAACATATAAGTAACTCAATCAAAATGCAATAAGAAACGAGCTGTGAGCATTGAAGTTTCATTGCTTATTATTATCAAAGCAAAATTGATATTGTTAAATATTTTGCTTACAAAGATTTGACTTTATCGATGCTTTTCGCTCGTAGAAACATACTGTCATTATATTATTGTAATAAATTTTTTATTTCAACGTGTACTCACTGAACGGCTCATGAGAATAATGCGAACGAATTGTTATACAGTATCACTAATTTTGGATTCAAAAATGATATAAACATTTTAGGCAACCGCACATCATTACTCGTGCAATGTATCCATCGAAAAGTGCATCACGCGAGCAAAGTGTTACCCATATGACGTTTACACGTATGGAGTGTACACTGCAAACCTAATCTAATTAAATGTCGAGATTTATTTTGCTAAGGAGATCAGTACAGGTCTTAGGCGTCCCTCCGTGGAACTGTCGCTTGCCGCCATTACATTTCACATTTGATAAAAAATAATAAATCAATGAGTGTTGAGATAGTAACGTAATTATATATTATGTACAAATAAAAAGTGATTCGACACTTTAGGAAAAGGATAACTTTGAGGGCGAGTCTTCTGGGAACAGGAGAAAGGATAAGAGAGGTGGAGGGACCGTCCCGAGCACAAAAAGTCCACGACGTATAAAGGCCCATTAATCTGTAATTAAACTAGCCTAATCCTGCCTTCGCTCTCATAATTAATAATGGTTATCCTACAAATTACAACACTATATACTCTACTATTTCAATTGTATCCTAAATTTTATATAATATGTATTCAGTTAGTGTATCATACTTTCTATTTACAAAATATGTAGAATAGACATTGTTCCTATCCTAACTACAATATGCGTGCCGTGGCGCGAGACCTCAAAACTCTTCAAAGTGCGCTTCTTCAATGAACATTCCACTAATTGCATTATCTATTTTACAGCAAAATTCAACAATCTTTGCTAAAATTCAACACATTTGGATAATAGTTTACAGAGTTTTAACAATCTAAAAGGAAACCAAAAAAGATACACTTATAAATTGTAAAAAGAATCATCATTAAAACCAGCCAGGAGCCACCATCTTGGAATTGTAAAAGGACCTCAATGTTAACGTGTTCACATTATGTCCCATGTGCTGGACCGTTAGCTGATTATAACGAAGATTGAAAGTAAAATTCGTAATCGTCATGGCCAAAAATAAGAAAAAAAAAAAAGTACTCACGGCCAATATAAAACCGCTTATATCTAGGGTGGCCAAAAAAAAGAATAGAAAAAAAATCGACCAATTCTAAAACACCTATAAAATATATGTAAACACGTTGAATCTTAGCAAAGTCCTAAAAACAGTCGATAAGTACTTTCGGGAATATTGGAAACATTTTACATATTATCTATACCAAGTGTCATCTAACAGTTATTTCAATAATAACAAGGGACTATATAATGCATGCGTTCCCCCGTTGTGTCGCCGCACGATGGCACGATTTTTTTCTTTATCCCCAACAGGATTAATCTACGAATCACCAGAAAATGTCTCCATCTCAAGTTTTGTCAAGATCGATGCAGTACTCTCACCTTTTATCATCCTTTCTCCCCCTTCCACACCCTTTCATTCTCACATTCTCGCAGAGTCTCTTTCTGTCACATTCTAGTTCTATCACACACACACTATCCCCCCTCTCTCTCTTTCTCACCCACCCTATTTATTTTTCTCCCCCCCCCCTCACTTTAAATCGATATCCCTTTATCTCTCGAAATATACTGTAATATGTACACGTAACATAAACATGTCTGCTGATTGCGTTACATAGATTTTTGTGCAATGTTTACTGTAGTTTTTCATCTATAGAGTTTTCCTTTCCAACTATAGTATATATAAAGTATAACTAAAGTATATAAACTCTGATTTCATTTTATAATTTTCCATTAATCCTAATACTCTCCGATTATGATTCTCTCTGCACTGGATCTCATAGTATTTTCAACAATATTTAACAACGGCTTAGGCCTTTTCTAATTTTGACCCAGACGTGTCAAGGTACAATAATCAGTTAATAGTTTCAAATAGGAGTGCAATTGGGAGGTTGTAATCATACCAGATTACAAAATAATATCGATCAATTCGATCGTAACAGAATCTTGAGCTAGAACGCAAATTGGTATTGTCTTTACTCTTCGTTGAAGAAAGCTCGTATTTTGAAAGAGGTGTCTAGTTGCTCTCGGCGATTCGTATAATTCAATGTCATTCATGCTCTTAAAATGATACGGTACATTTTTATTTCGAGAAATGTAATTTTAGCGAATGAACGATGATCGGCAATTTTGTCTAATTTGAACAAATGTGTACGTATCTGCACGATAACCTGGATCGTGTACGTCGGCAGTGCTCTGAACGTAATTAAGTTTTAAATTCTATTCCCGATAGCAACACAACATCCTGAACACATATTAATTTCACGGCTTCTGTTTTCTAAACTCTTTCGATAATTCTCCTGGAATTTTAGGGGATTTCTCATCGTAACCACCTTTTTTTATGTACAATAAGATACAAAGGCAATAACTGATGTTTGTATGTTAACACGCCCTGGCACACCACCCTAATTAACCTAAACCAAGGTTCAAATTGCACTGAAGCCTTACAGCATACTTTACGCATTTGCAAAGAAACTGCACACCAACGTTTCTAGCAAATAAACACCGTCCTCTTCAAAGGATAATGACGTACTCGCGTTACGGAGTAAAGGGATGCATAGTATCACAGTTGGCACGTGGGCGCTAGCTACCACTGCTGCTTACTGGCAGTGTAAGTGGAGCTCCCATCGACGTAGGAGGAGCAGTTAAAGGTCCTGCAATGATCCCGACAAAAAAAAACAAAGTCACATTTTGACCCACGCTAACCTTGTCATTTGCATAATGATGCACGATCCAACCGGATCGCATCGTTGATACAATAAATGTAATGTCAACGTACGAGCAAACGATTCTTACCGGTTATGCTAGGAGATGGCTCTGACACTGGCAGCGGACTAACCAGACTATTAGCACTCATCGGAGTTGGATTGGCTTTTAATTTCTGCCTAACTTCTCTAATCTTCAGCTGCAGGCTTCCTTTCGTTGGAAAGATGTCCGAATGCTTGGCTTGAAAGGTTGAAGTAGCTTGAGTCGACGGGAAATAACCGTACTCCTGAAACAACTGCATCACCAGTTGTCTTCGCTGTTCCAGCACTTTCCTGGGACCCCGTTCGTTGTCGCTTCTACCAACTCCTATAGCACTCGCTACCCCACCGCCAGGGGTCTTCGGAGTCCTTGGAGAATTAGCATCGACGTCTCCCACAAGCTCGCTGTTAGCTCTGTACGCATCAACATTGAAATCCGGACCGAAAAACGTGTTGCCCGTCAACTTCACGCTCGCTGTAGACTTCGGAGTTGCAGACACCGACACATCCGACTCGACGTTGTCCTCATTCACTGCAGGGATAAAAAAAATGTTGTGATCGATATCAGACAAAAATTAATGCATGACTCTCAACAAGGAGATGGAATATTCGTAACGGCATGCAAAGATAAACTTGAATTACACGTGGGTCTATGAGGTCCCTGTGTAGATTTCTTACGGTAGCCTGGTATGGAAGATGACAAATTCGACGGATGTAAGGCAGACGCTGATGGATGGGAAGATGACCCTGCAGGTGTATTCATGGTGATAGCACTTGGACTCTGTATATCTTCCGGTTTAAATTCTGGCAGCGAGGAGAACTTCTCTTGGAAGTTCACTTGCTCCAAAACTCTAAAATAATATATCGTTTACATTACTACGCGTAAGATATTTAGATGCTTGATGCAACTTTGAGTTAATGAAAGTATAAGCAGTCAGTTGAAAATTTGAATCTCGTACCTATCCATGCCATCCTCCACATTCTTCTTAAAGAACGAACTCTTTTTAGTAGAAGGTGAAGCAATAGGTTCCGATAAATTTTGTTGCTGCGACTGCTCTGCGTTTTGAGTAGTATTCGTCGCTGATCGATTGTCGGAATGCTGAGACGTCAGAGGCCCATGGTCTCCTGCATTTGATGTGGGAGGCATTGCTGAAAATAAATCAACAATTATTGTTGTTATTATTATTACATTGCTCGTGGCTTTGGAAAATTATATTCTTAAGGACGATGTAAATGTACTATGCACTGATGCATATCTGTTTGTCACAAAGCATGGCAATAAGTATTAAATTTATCAAGAAAAACAAGTCCAGGTAAAACAATGACTCATTAGGCATACCCATTGATTGTCTCCTTTGTAACGGTGCCCGACCAAGCTGCGCCGGTGTCGGCGCAAGCATAAAAGGTCCCTTGCTCGGTGTTCCATCATTATTTGTGCCTGAAGATTCCTCCATGGAATAAGACTTATTCGAAGAAAGATCACTACTACCCTGATTACTATGAGGTGTATGCGGTGTATGATGTGTCGAAGGCTGCTTATGTTTCTCACTTGATACAGGAAGAAGAATGTTGACTCCCTCTTTTCTCTCTTGCTCGGCTTTAATATTATTTACTGAAAAAAAAAGACAAAGCATTTGTTTTATAATAAAGATCAGAAATTTTAGCCATATAAAAGACTGTTTACAATTTACGAAAAAAAGAATTGATCAACCAACCATAAAACTGAGCATGATTTCCCGTTATTTGACCGTCATTTTTCTCAGGTTCAGCGAGTCGAGCAATGGAATGGCCAATTCCTCGATAACTCGGTGTACTTGAATTCGAGGTGGTGACTGGATAAGATTTACTCACAATCACACTTGGCGTTTCCACCTTACTGGCGGCAACTAAATTTTGCACGGATATGTTGCGGCTACCAGCATCTAAAAAATATACGTACAAACGTCATCACTGACTCATCTTGCATTCCACTAGGAACAAAGTGCTAGCACAAAAATCTTGGCCAAGATATACAATTTTTTGTTGACAAAAAGTATAGCGCGTCACAAATGGATTTTATTTATAAATGAGATTTTCAAACTAGTAATACGTGTTACTTCTTGACTAACGAAAAGCTTTGAAGCTTGGCCAAAAAAAAATATTCTTGCTCGCAAAAAACATTTGAGAATCTATCAAAAATAGATGATTTGGCGATCTGTATGCTTACCAGAAATAGGTATATGGAATCCACAGTACATCCTTGGATGCGACGCGGTTGGGCCAAGGTACTGAGGTCCCTGCTGCGGTTTGGAAACAGCCACCAAATCGTTATCGAGTAATGTCAGAGTGAGCGGTGGTTGATAAGGGGCAGTTGAGGTAGGAGTGCGATGTGCACTGGCTAAAGGCTGTAACGGCTGCTGTTGTTTTAACAGAGCCATCATAGGTTTCGATCCAATCTGTTAGTATTGTCAATGCTCGTTATTTAACTTTTGGGATGATCGCAACATCTATTAACTATTGACGAAATAGGAGTTTTTATGAAAGTTTACGATCACGGAAACGAAAGTAAATGACGAGCAGATTCTTTTGTTTGATCAGATCTTCAGTTATTTAACAAAATAGTACATAGGTGCATCCTCCCTCCGAGTGGCTTTATTTCATCGTGTATTATATCAATACCTTGATTTTCTAATTCATTAGAAATGACGTGATAAAAAAAGATTAACCCCCGCATTCAGAAAGAAGTCAGTATTTGACTAAATTTATTTCTACCGTGTTGTTTTTACGAACAAGCTAAAGTTAGTCAAGAGATATCTTCCTTCTGATTATGGGACACTTGTACGCCCATTTTGTTTAAGATTTTACTAAGAAATCCCTTTTAGATGAAAGTAAACAACTCTTCTTGTTCTTCAATATTGTAAAATGCACGTTCATTCATAAACTCACCGTATGAAGGACTGGAGCAGCCGTGAACTTTGGCATATTCCTGCCATTCTCATTATGTATGTTCTGTGGAAGTACTAGGTTGCTCACACTATACTGCGTGCTGTATTGCTGTTCACTCTTAACTGATTCCGGTTTTATAACTTTCGGAGATACCGGCATCGTTATAAAGGCCCCACCGGTAGGTTGAAAGCCCGACACGCCAGTTGGATTGACAGGACTATGGTATGGATATGTGGTGGATAAAACGGATACGGTGCCACCCTTGTCCATGGAAGTGTGATGATATTTTGTCGTAGTCTCTATTCCAGTTGATGGTAAACGTGCTGTAAAATGGAGTCAAAAATGTATTCCGTTGTGGTTAGTAATTTATATGAATAGTCAGAAACAAAAATAAATTCATATAAATATTTTACCTTTTATTGGTTTAGGTCTACATGTTACTTCTTGCTTAACATTCTGCCCTTCTCTCTTTTGTCCACTCACAGGTGAGAATCTTGATTGGCCAAAATTTTTGTTTTCAACGTCCTCTTCTTGTCCGTCATTATCGCTGTCCGTCAATTTGTCTTTGCACTTTAAATCTATTTCAGGTTGAGGGTCCTCGCAAATGACCATCTGATCATCGTCGGATCCATTTCCGTCATCCTCTTGTTTAACGTCGGAATCCATGTTCTCAATTTGCAAAGGCATTTCAGGCATGCGATGTGGTGCATGCGATTGACTGACAATCTGCGAAATATACACCGGCTACGTTCTCAGAATGCACGTTTATCAATCATCTCTTTTTAAGATAAAACTATAAATTAGTGCTTGTTTAAAAAGCCTAGAAGCTAGAAAGTAATTCTTACCTCAATGCTAGGAGGTTCGTTATAGACTGTGGTGACAGGTACCGTAATGTCTTCCGAAGCTCGTGGTGTCAGTGGTACGTCATCCGATGGTGGTCCCATATCTGTTTCTTCCCCGGTACTATTTAATTTCCCTCTAGGTTCTCCGCCCTTAAAGCTAGTTGAGGATTTTCGTCTATCTTTGCTGCACCATTTCCAATCTGGATGTGCCCGAAAGTGGGCCTCTTTCACCTCTGAGGCAAGGTCATGGTATCGCTGTTTTTCATCGGGACGCAAAGCGTACCACCACTCTCCGAGAATTTTCGATACAGTCCGATTATCTTGATTAGGATGTCTACTGTGCACGAGACCCCGATGCCGTTTGGAGAATATCATAAATGCGTTCATGGGCCGTCGGATTCTGTCCTTAGTCTGCAACATTGGAGGTTTTTTCATAGTTTGCTACGTGGCGTAGCAAACAGAAAGCTTATCAGTTTCTGATCGGGTCCAAAGTACTCACAGCACACCAATATTTTATTGATCGAAAATATATAAACAAATTTGATGTTTACGTAGCTCAATCAACGATCACACGAGGTGCGTGCTTCTGTTTCTCATCAATTTACAAGTCGCTGCTCTATATTTTTTAAAAATTCTTTTTTTACTAACGACCATACGTCGTAATGTGTGTGTACAAGGGTACTAGTATCTGACCATCGACTGACTTGGTTTTGGCACAGTAAGAAATAAACAGTGAGACAGAATGTAGTAAGGCTCATATGCATGAGAATCGTATAAACAAAGATTTACCTTCATTGGACTCTGAGGCTCTTTGGTATGCAAAGCACTGAGAGATTGGCTGCGCCTCTTGTTAGCATTAGCCTCTACCTCTGCAGGGGTTGTTGGCTCTGCTTCGAAAACATCGTCGTCGTCTTCTTCCGCGGGGGTAATAGGATCTGGACCAGGGCCAGGACCGTCTTCACCAGGGTTGCCCATGCTCATGGGAATTGGAGGTGCGCTCAAAGGAGGACTCAGGGCTGAGGGCGGTGGACTCACCTCTGGCTGATCCATCACTGCCGTCTGCCAGGAAAAAGCTGCAATGAAATTCTTGGGTTAGTTGTGATGAATGTGGTTAGTAACAGCATGGGAATAGCAGCTGATGAAGTAATGCTTTTAAAATTTTTTTGAAGATGCAGGAACGCTGCTACACCCCTAAAGGATACAATGAGTTAGTGCGTATGGTGTTAGTTGAATTATGGATATCAAGAAACTGCAGATTTCTGCCTTTTGCATGAATTCGCGGTTTGTAGTTTGATAACATAATAGAATCATGCTGTAGATTTATAAAATGTAATTCTAACTGCATTATCTTAATATTCTGGTAGAGTTGGTATCTCATATTCACTTTTGTTTTAGCATTTTGTAAAAAGATCTGACTGAGCAAAAGAATAAATATCTCAGTGCATTGACATTACAAGACAGCGTAGCATTTATATTAATCGTTTTAATTCGACGGTATACCATAATTCAACTTTCATAACGGTTAGTATAAACACCTTTCCCCAACCTCGAAGCAACATTAAACACACCAATTTGCTAGAATCAATGAAAAATGAGGCGAAGTATGATTAAAGGATGAGTAAAGAGCCAGTTAGTTAAAGACATGCGAAGAAATATCAACAATGGTACTTCTTTTCAATAGAATATTTATATAGTATTTCACGAAAGAATAACAATGTTCAACATGTCGATAACATTTGTTTGCATCTAGTAATCAATAAACGTTTCTATAATATTTCTATTTGATCTTACAATACGAAACATTAGTTGTGATATTGTCTGAACGATTGTAAACATTGTTATCTTTAACTGATGTACCATTGTTTTGTCCAGATATACCACAAGCCTAAAGTGATGACCAATTTTTTGTTCTCTGAGAATTCAAACCTTTTTTCCAGTTGCGCATAGCGTTGTTCAGTATCGTTGGATGATGAGACTGGTACGTAGGAAGAACATCGTGGCTGCCATCTGTGAAACCCTTACCATTTAGTCATAACTCACCAATGACGTACGTCACGTGCCACGAGCTTGAGTTATTTAATGCTTTCCGTTTCTTTTATAAAAATTGCTTGAATTGACACATGCAAGATAATCATGTATATAAGAATGTTGCTATAGTGTGAAGCGAAAAAAAAATGTACTATTTCGATATACATATACTGCTACATTGGCAACTGTTGACACTCATAAAAACATATTTGGTGAACCCTTTGAAAATCGTGAAAGGATCAATCAGTACGTTAAACAAATACTATCGATTAGTGGCATCAGTAACCAGTACTATATTTCGTACCCACTTCAAATTTTAAGACGATAAAGATAACTGGCTCGCGCCACGATTATGCATTTTCTTGTGAAATATAATAACGTAGGCACGTTCGCGTATACAAAAACCAGGCACATTTGTTAAGTAAAAGATATTGCTGAATTTTGCATATTGCAGATACGAGCCGCTAGGTGAACGAACGTGTAATGAAACGTGGTAACTTACAGAGTACTCCATTATTTTTCGAGTTTTCTTCTCGAAGAGGTTGAGCCTTCGGAACTTGCACCAAGTGGTTTGGCTGAACGATGACATGTTGGAAGACACTTGTTGGAGTAGAAGTGTTTGTTATTGCCGTAGTGGCGGACATAACAACGGTCGGCGGTTGTGGTTGACTTCTTTGCATATCCATATGCGTAGATACATGAAGACCCACCTTACTTGCCTAATGCAATTTTTTTTAAAAAATAAATAATTCACTCTGGCTTTATATTGAACGTTTGTGAAGTAACAGAAATATATCTAACCTGCTGAAGAACTGACATCTTGTCAACGTGGACGGATGAAGCGGCAGGCGACTGGGGCGGCTGACACTGATTCTGATGCAACGGTGTCATTTGTGTAAGATGATTCATTATGCCTTGTCTATATTTGTCATCCTGATTTCCTACGTGTCCCGTAGGCGGAACTTCCATACTGTTTTTTATCACAACATATTTTTTTTCATGCTGATGCTGCATCACATATATCGATTGGGCCTGAGGCTGCGGTTGGGCATAATCGACGGGCTGTTCCTGGGACTTATGAAGAATGCTCAAGTTTTGGGGTGCTGGAGCCGAAAGAGGGATATGAGGTGAATGAGGTGGTTTCAATAGCTGGGTGTTTTGCTCCATCATTTCAGGGTGATTCGAGAATCCGTTGCTTGAAGTCAATGCGTGTTGTAGTATTATTCCTTGTTGCTGCTGCTGCTGCTGTTGCTGTTGTTGTTGTTGCTGTTGTTGAGCCATGGATGTTACGACCGAGGGATGCCTTGGTGGTGGGCTTTGATCAGACCATGGCAGATTTAAGTTTTGTCCAGTTATACTGCGTCCTACTGGAGAATTTCGTATTACACTTGTCCCTATACTGGCAGGTGCAGTCGGAGCTGGTCTGTTCGGTCTGACCATGCGATTGGGTTCTGGCTTGATAACTTGTTGTTGGTACTGAACCAAAAAATTCTGTTGAGTGGGAGAGTGCTTCCACTTTGCGCCAGGGGATATTAACGGCGCAGCGTGATGCGCAGGGCTGGATATTGGCATGAAGACATTTTGATTGAGTCCCAACGGAGGTACAGGAGACTGATTTATACATGGCGACACGGATGACTGTCCCGTTGGCGATGAAAAAGCTGGTGTCGCCGATCGTGAACTTCCTAAAGATACTAAAACATTAAAAGCCGAGGATATAATTACACTCTATTATTTAGGAATCCTAGGAGGAATTTTTCAAAGAATATTTAGAAGACCCAATGCACATTTTAGATGCAAGCTTACCGAGCATATTAGCAGCCTCCGTCTCATCTTGATCAAATCGACCAGCTATTCTTCTATCACCATAATTCGGAGAGGTATCTGAATCTCTGGATGTCTCTTCTCCGTCTATCTTACCCCTGTAATATTAGAATAACAAAATGAGGCATACCGTTATTACAAATAATCATAGACAATACAGGAGTATCAAGACAATATTATACGAACCCAGAAAATGTACTCGTGGGGCCCCTGAGTCCAGAACCTTTAAGGCTAAGGTGTCGGGAACAGTAACCCCTCCGTTGGCTCTCTTTGGAACAATCCTCTCTGCATAGTCTGCGCCACTGTTTCCCATTGAATTTCTTCCTTATTCCACTTGGCGTGACCACTACATCACCCTTTTTATATTTGTGTGGCGTTGCCGCCTGAGATCTAAAAATAAAAAATGAATATATTGTTTTCGATAGAAGAACACGTTGAGTTCGTCCCTGAACGTGAAGAAGAATATAAATTGAGCGAATCCTTTCAGTGATTTTCTAAAGGAGTCAATGAAAATGAAGTTTTGACAGCGTTATTCACTAAAGCTTGTATTTCACGTATATTACCTGGGTGTGGCTGCCTGAGAACGAGGAGTTATGCTACGTTGCTCAACTAGGCTACTGGTACTCCCTCGACTCTGCATGCTGCTTCTCTTACTGCTCCCTGATAATTTTGCATCTGTCAGTTGAATATATTTGTGTTACTTATAGCATTAACGTACAAGTTCAATTACGTAAAGCACGTGAGCACTTAGCATTTAGCGAATCGAAACAAACTAGATGCCATCAATTAACGATTAGATAACATAAGGCCATTTAATATTCTCAATAAAGTCTTCTCGTTGTGGCATTCTAATAGTGTATTCCTGTCTTATATAAAGCATGGAATTTTCATCCCCCTTCCTTTCATCATTCAGAATCCAATAAAGATAACTGCATTAAATACTAGAGATAACATTCAATCGTAGCCACTGACCTGCGTCCGAAGGGAATGTAATGTCTTCCCTATCTAAATCATCTTCGCTTTCTAAATCGTCAAAGACTCTGCTCCCATTGCTGAGCGCAGTGCTACCAGCAGAGTGCGGCTGCGTAACCAATGCCATGAGAGGACTTGTACCAGTACTTCTATAATATCCGCCAGTATCACCGTGCAATGGTATGTGCGAGGTATGGTGCGGAGTGTGATGAAGCTGCATAATGGGTACCGATGCTGGAGCTTCCAAAGAATTTCTATATCCTTGTTCTGGAGGAAGAAAAAAAAGGGTATATCATTACAAAGGTACTTAAATCTATATAATATAATAAACCAGGAAGAATCCTTTAACATGAATGGATAAAATTACATATAAATAACTTACCAACTTCTTCGAAACCCCTCGCCGTCTCACAATCCTCCAATCCTTCCTGGAGCTCGTCCCACCAAGGAGGTTGCACTAATCTCAAGTCCGCACGCTTCACAACATAACTGTCGTACTGCTCATCTTCCCTTGGTATTTTTACAACGAAAAGTAATGGCTTAGTTAAGATCTTGTACACAGTCCCTTTCACGAAGACGTTCGTCAACGAGTCGATGTGACTATTGGAAGTCGGACACCTAACGCAAACCTTTGCGTTTAATGTCACTTGCCCTACCCGCGGGCTAGCATCACTTATCACATCATATTTCCCTGCACCCAGAAAATCACCGTATCGCACTAGCTTCCCTTCGCCGTCGAACTCAATGAAGATCTCTCCCTGGTTGGCATTGCGAATGACTCCAGGATAGTAATGGGAATCTCTTAAAGCTAACACTCTGTGGTCACGCCACTCGCTGAGGTCAATCGCAACGGGAGATGGTCGAGGACGAGAACGCGGCGGTTCCTCTCGGAGGGAATAATCCACTGCCATGCTCTGCGGAGGTTGCACTACCACCGATTGTACTGTGGATACCTGCGAGCGAATAAAGAGAATAAGTATCCATGAGTGCTCCCATGCAATGAACGTGAATGGACTAAATCTTACTGGGTACATAAAACAGAGGTAATTGCTCGAAAGTAACTTCAAAGAAATACAGCATAGCAACAACGACCATGTATCATTGGTCATGCTAATGAACAGTTAGGATTTTTTTTTTTCCAGATAGTAGCAGAGATGAGATTCGAGTGTAGTTTGTAATAGAATTGACGGCAAAATCCAATTGCAATCGCGTACCTGGTAACAATCAGTCTGTTGCTGTTGATTCGGCGATTGCTGTGCTTGTGGCATGGGCAACGTTGATTGTTGAACCAAAGCTGATTGACTCAATGGTTGATTAGTTGCTCGAATGCCGACCATATTACTAACATTGCTCGTGACGTTGCTCGTCTTGTCCATTTCCTCGAGCTCGGACGGGTCGAACTTTCTTTTCTTCGGGAGTTTTTTAATGCTGATCGTTGGGTCGGACGGGTCTCGCTGCGGTGGTGGCGGCGGCGGGGGTGGTTGTTCCGGAGCAGAATTCTCTTCAATGGCCGTCCCACCACCGCCGCCGGCTCCATATTGCCCTCCGCCTAAGGAATCCCGTTTTTCATGCATCTCAGGACGCGCGGTCAGCATCTTTGCCATCCCACGCTGCTCTGTGAGGATAGCAAACGAAAGGGTTACACTAGGATATTTCTTATTGTTTCTCTCCATTCTTTCTTTTCCTTTATTCTTTTTTTTTTCTTTTCTTTTACCTTTCTTATACTCCTAAGTAGCAACCCCTCGTAATATACTTACAGTCGATACAGTCGAGGGGAGGCTCTGGACCAGAGTGTGGCGAGTCGAAGGCAGGAGGGTGGTTTTTGCAGCGGCTGGGTGCATACCTCAGCACCCGGCTGTCGGGGACGGGATGTGTCGAGTCGGGGCTCTCTCTTCTCTGACTATCTTGCAACAGGGTGGTCGTTCCCTCGCCCAGCTCCAATTCTTCTTCCCAGTCCCAGCTCCCAAGCATCCTCCCCCAAAAGTTCTCTCCTTAGACCGACACTTCCGTCCTCTTTTTTGGTTCTTGATCTTCACTTATCGTTCTGTAACAAAATTAGGCGAAAATTGTAGCAATTACTTCGTCGAGGAAATCAAAGATGGTAGATATTTCAAAAACGAATGACTATGTTAATTTCTGGCATACGGTGCCAATTTAAATACTTTCAATTGTGCGACGAGAATATATTGCATAAATATAACGACATACGTAAAAACATTCTAAGACCTCGTTTCTTAAAGACGTTAGTTGTCGCAAATGAAGCTTAAGGTATGTAACAACGATACTATAGAAAATAGTCAAATTGATCGTGTCAATGGAAATTCTATGTCTCGCTCGCTGTACCTCGCCATTTACTACTATCTAGGAGACGTTCGGTCGTGAATAAAAGGACTTGTTTGATATATGTGCACAGTTTAATGTACGAGGGCGAATGCGGGAGGGAAGTGCAATAAAGTTTCTTCGCTTATAATTTATATTTTCAGGATATCTGGTGGCAAGCTCGCCAAGAAGGTAGCGTCGTGATTGTTTTCTCGCAAGATATATTATAATAATGTAGTCGAGAAAGCTATCTCGGAAAACTTGTCAGAGATACATTTTATTATCCACAATGCTGATGTGAAAATAACATCGCGTATTATTACAACATGAACTTGGTGAAATTATCAAGCAAAGTTGCAACACTATAAATTGCGCAGTCCTTGTCGTACTCTAGTATAAAATTTCTTCGACGAAAAGTCCTGCTCGAAACTTTCAATAGAACATTCCGATTCTCACTTGACAGCGTGTATCTCTTCTACGAAGACGATAAATTAATATATGATATTACAATCGCTCTAAATCCTAAAAGCAGATTAAATCTCATTTTAAATAATGAATACGATTCAAAACATAGAAATCGATTCCCAAGATCTGGGTCTTGCATCACTGATGAACATCAGGAAACACAATTATCTAAATGGAAACTTCGATTCAAGAATTAAATGACATTACTATACACCTCAATGTTTAGATCTAATTATTATTAATGTATTTATGTTAATTATTTGATCGACAACCAGATACAAGTTTATGGTTCCCTGCAGTCAAGTTTTACAGAATAGTGGGCAACCCAGCAACGTATTCCTGGTTAGCTCAGCGTTATAAGAGAGAATTTCAATATTCGACATATAATATTACAAATGAAATCCTTTGGGACTTTTAATTTATTAGATTGATACAATAAAGGGTTATGTGTATTAAGTTTGACAAACCCACTTCAGGATAATCATTTAAAACGTGCTTAATGATTTATTGCTTTTTCGTTGCTAATTATTATATTTACTCTATTTCAAATTTTGTTCCTTTAAACCTGTAACCGGAAGTAGCGGTTGTGACAGGATGCGTCTAAATTTCAGTGCCCTGTGGTTGCTAAGCGTTTGTTGTATTCTCAATTTTATTGCTATTACCGTTTAACCGAAAGTAGTGCTACAGTACGGGTAAAATTATCAAAGTAACATACAAAAAACGGATAAACGAAATGATAAGATATAAAAATTGTTGCGCTATTTAGTTGCTGTATTTAAACATTTTTTTAAAAATGTAGTGGTAAGAGGGAGTTTTTTGACAAAACTTTATATTTGTTTGAGGATTTAAACAATATACAATACATATATGTATACTTGTTTTTACAGTTTGTACATTTTGCCTACAGGCCAACGACAAAAGTCTATCAGCACCTTTAATTAGTATATTACGACCCTAGGCCAGAAAGTTGGATTTCCTGGCGTATGTGATATAAAGGCTTCGCCTCGGCCTTTATATCACATACGCCAGGGCATTTAACTTTTTAGCCATGGGTCGTATACTATTTTTCTTGCTCCCTAAGCCAAAAGTACCGTCTTCCCGTTTTTCATTGTTCAACTGACATTACAAATTTACGGTTATGAAGAGTTGAGTAAAAACACAGGCGCTTAGAGTTTGTGATTGAACATTCACTTGTTTGCATTTGTTTATATGTAGGCAAGCAGACCACAAGAGTGGCTCTTCCCGGACTCAAATGCGGCCGGGAAGACGGTACTTCGGCTTAGGGAGCAAGAGAAAATATATTTTTTTAATGTTTAAATACAGCAACTATTTAGTAATTAAGAATGCTCAAATTTTCATATCTTATTCTTTGGTTTATCTATTCCTTTGTATGTGGCTATGATAACTTTGCCCGTCCCGTGACACAGTCATTGCTTCCTGTTAAAGGGTTGAAGCATGAAAATTGATAATAAAGTAAATAATTAGCGACTAAAGAGCACTAAATTATTATATTTGTTTTAAGTGATTGTGCTGAAGTAGTTGTACCAACTTTATACACGTCAAAAGATTGATCTTTTCCGCTTTTTCTTCGCGACTCCTGTTACCAGGCCAACGAAGATGCAGGGACATGGTTTCACAGTCTAAAAATTGTTGAGCTCAATATGGTCAATACAGCGAATAGAGAGCAGCAAGCTTGCATTCAGCGACGAAAATAAGATAATCCCCTCTCAACGTGAAACACGTGTACATACAGCCGAGAATTCACACATTTGTATAGCCACGTTTAAATAAATATTACACCGAGCTTATTAATACAGTACTAATTACAATGAAACATTATCGTCCAGTAAATCATTATACGTCACAGCTATCGAAGTTTCTGCTTATCTATCACGATAACAGGTGGCACATCATTAGCTTTTGTAAATGACTTCGAATTAACACTGTAACACAAGAATGTCCTGTTATACATTTATAACATTGACGATGATAAATAGAATTATTCATTTTTCTCGAAGACAGGTCACGTAGTTTTGGGGTCATTGCCATGTCGCACTGTATGGCACAGACTTTAGAAACTATTCCAATTGCGTAATTGTTTGCAATACATCATTTTCTCTATATCAGGAGCGTCGTGACAATCGTGTCAAAGTGCATAATACGATTTGGTTTTACGTAACAATATTTACATGAGCAGTGACGAATTAAAAATTTAATAATGAGAAAAACTCGATAATGACATTCCTGCTGTTGAAAAGTTTAACAAAAAGAGCGATAAATATTGTGTCCTAAATATTTCACAATATTTCATACTCGTCTACGCTGATCAAAACAGTAAACGATAGTAGCTCGACGTAAATGACATGAAACTTCCAAGTACACATCTATACATCAGGAAGTCAAATCTCAAGCGATCGAGGTCGGGACGACAATGCAATTCAATAATTCATCCGTCGTGGACGGCACGAAGTGCATTCGGAAATGCTTGTCGTACGATCGAGCGTGAATCTTCCAGAGTATGTCTTACAATAGTATAAGAGAGGTATCAGAAGGATCCTAACCTAAAATTCTATAGGCAATAATAATTTGAAGAAATCTCTGTGTAACTATCATGCGTAGTCTAAGATCGGCAAAGTCTTATGGATGATTTCAGGGCAAGATTGATTTCAGGGAAAATGTTCTCAGTAGTCTCGATGTCGAGAAAGAAACTGAAATAGTGATTCGCGTCGCAGCAGGGCGCAGGCGGTACAACAGCAGAAGTAACTTAGCTGGTCGAACGTGCTGATACGGGAGAGAGAACCGGTATCAACTGTAACACGACGGGAATCGGCAAAGGGAGACGATGGACATAGCGGCAGTAAAAGACAGGAAGGCATTCGTGAGAATCCCCATAAGCTTATAATCCCCATAAGTCTGTCATTTTTCAATAACGTATGAGAAGGACGTGTCTTGCCGATCGAGTCATTGACGGATAGAAATGATATTCCTTGGAATTGGTAAAGAAACGGCCTCGCGCGCGGCAAGACACGGTTAAGGTCGTCTCAACCATCCCCAAGGTGACTCGAGCAGATCTGACTAGACCACGTTTCTTTAGCAAAGTCGTGCAAACCTTATGAACACGGGTTTCGAGGGTACGCGGATGTTATGGGTAGAGCGAGAGAGAAAGAGCTATTGAGCTATCGAACGATCACGTTACTAAAGCGAGTAAGAGAGAAAACGAGAGAGGGGAAGGAGACGTTGCACGGAATACACGCACGTGCGCGCCACACTTACGTTACTGACGTACGCACTCATGCACTGAAGAACACACGTGTATGTACACATCCTTGCGCACCGTGACCGTAAAGAACCTGGAGAGTCCATAGAATCGACTCTGCGAACAGTAAAACGTAACGCGGATACGGGAGTCCACGTATATAAGAGGTACACTGTCGAATATCCCGTAGAAGCCAAAAGAGAACGGGCACAGTGCTACTTATGTACTTTTCCCCATGGCGATGTCGATAGACAGGAAGGACTGGTTTGTAAAAATATGAACATGGGAGAAAAGACACGAAGCACCACGAGGCGAGGTCGGCATGATGCATTGATCCAAAGGAAAGAAGAAAAAATAAAGGAGGGACAGAGAAATACGAAGATATGTGTGAGAGGGAATGAACCGAGGATCGAAAAAGACAGAAAAGAGAGAAGAAGGAGGACGTAAGGGAGATGGAAGCAGTAAGGCGAGAAAGGAAGAGTAAATAAGAAATAAAAAATGAATATGGGAAGAGGGGATACTGGTAAGCACGTCCGGGCGAGCGGGCTACTCCGGAATCCGGAGTAGAGAAGAAGAGGATGGCGAGCTAGTGGCCCCGTGGCGACAGCAGTAACAGAGGTAGCAGCAGCAACAGCAGCAGCAGCAAGAGTACGGGACACGCGCGCGCACAAACGTTATCATATCTAGTCGAGGTTTACACAACGGTCAGAGAGTATCCTGGCACCTTCCACGCGAGCACTGCACTAACACTGAACGTTACTCCGTAGCCCGGGCACGGAGGAAAACAACGGTCTTGTGTGAGTAAGAGGAAGGATCAGGGAATGCACCACCTCGCTATGCTCTCCTCGACGAGCTCTGACTCACAGCGACGGAGACTCAACTCAAGCTTGCCTTCCATTCTCTCTCCTCACCGTTCTCGCTCGCTCGCTTGCTGTCTCTCTCTCTCTCTCTCTCTCTCGCTCTAGCTCTCCTTCTATCTATCTATCTGTCTATCTGCTTCTCCTCTTTCTCCTCTTCTACCATCAAGACCTCCTCTCCGCCATCCCCTACTCCTCCTACTCCTCCTTCGGTACGTCTCCACCACAGCAACAACGAGCACCTACTTCCACTTCTACTCGTAGTCCTTCGTCCCTCCGCCACCTCCTCGTCCTAGTACTCCACTTGCTCCTTCCCGCCACTGCCTTCTTGTCCTTCTACGCCTGCCATTGTATCTTTACCGCTGTAGGAACCTTGCCGGCGCATTCACAGGTATACAAGTAGGTGCTCTATGGACGGTCTAGCAGGACGAATTCGGACAGGACTCTCTCTCTCTCTCTCTCTCTCTCTCTATCTCTCTCTCTCTATATATATATATATATATATATATATATATATATATATATATATATATATATATATATATATATATATATATATATATATATATATATATATATTTCTCATTCTTTGGTGTTTTGGAAAGTTAATAACATATTCATGCTGCAACTGGGTTCACGATTATTAATCTGCGACGCTTAAAATGGAGTTTTCTTCTGTTTCCTATTTCTCTTATAATTTTTTCCCTTATTTCTATCAATGCCAACTAGTTTACCTGTCATAGTTTTAGCTGCAAATCATTCCAGTTTCATAAAAGATTCTAGACTAACCTTAAAATGGACCCTAAACTGAGTCAAGTATTTTACGCGTGAGTGACACCACTCCCAAAAAGAAACTGAAATTTTCAGTGAGACGATTTCGGTCCGTCCCTTTTACACGACCGTGGAGGCATTTACGTTGTGACTAAAGACAAACAATCGTATTGTTCCGTAGAATAATGGTGAACTCATAGACAAGATTCTTTGGGCTGAGAAGTCGATCGAATTTCCCAACGAGTTCCAAAGGATTCCTGGAAGGAGACTCGAAGTGACGAAGAAAAAAGACTCGAAGACCGAAGGGTAAAAATTCTCAATTTGACGTCCCTGTTACTCTTCGTTCGAGCCCTTCTGAAATTTGTACCAGTAAGCAATAGGATTGCTGAAAAAGATTTGAGATAGATCCGGCGACGAATAGCCTTTATAATCGGATGTCTAGATAGGAAAAGAAAAAAAATCTTATCATGAATTTTCGTGACGTTGGGTCGAGCGTGTCGCACGATGCAATTCTAATCTCTCTCGTGAGGAAATACTATAAGAGGAGAACGAAGGCCATCATCATTCTATAGATATCTCGTGGGAGAATATCTCTGCACGTACCTAACATCATAATACCCACGGAAGCCATAATCACGACACGGGATAAGGATATTAGGAATAAACGAAAGTCCCGTCCTACCTGATCAAAGTGACTTTTTTTCCCTTACGCTCGTCGGCTCGTAACCTTTTTCTTTCTTTTCCTTTTGGCGACCTTGTTTACGACGCTATCGCCTATGTGATACGTTACACTGTGATATCTACTAGAGTAAAGAAACAAAAAAAAGGTCCCTAGGTCTTTACCCGACAAAGCCAAGGGTTGATGTTTCAAGGACCACGCTATCCTATACCGACCAACGATCCCTACCTACCACTACAGTGCAATTACCGTGCAGCACAAAAGGGACTTTTCGAAAATAGCCCTCGCGCTGGAAGGCAGTCAGTAAATTGTTCGGAAGCATGAAATCCCAACTGAGACCGAATGCGCTTTTACTGTCGAGTACACAGCACAGCGTAAGAGTACAAGATCCCTCAGTGCTGTATAGATGCCAACAAATCGAGAACGTCACTTCTCCTTCTGCACTACCATTGCCACCATACGGACGGGTGCTGTCGTAGCTGCAGTTGCCGTTACAACCGGCACTACTCGCTTACTCTCTTACTCTTCCTGTTCTTACTATCCTTCGAAACGACCCGTACGAGATTCGAGCATTGCCCTCCTCTCAACTAGGGACAGATACGCCTCGGTTCTTATCATAAACGTTGTCTGTAAATAGCGAAAGCGTAGGAGGATCTTTGGTTGCGGGACTCGCTGGAAAGTCCCCTTTCTCAAGCAGAACCTTCACAATTCTCAATAGTGCAGTGATACCTATACAGCATCGTTATACCACCCAGGGATCTCTTCACGTCGGATCCTTTTTCTTTAACGGGTCTTAACAACTTGTAACCGATACCTGCGTCGTTCGCTTGAATGAAAGGGCCGATTCGCCGTGCGAATATTGTATTTTACCCTGGGGGTCCAGGTACTGGACAATGGACCTGATGGAGAATTTAGAGGGCACGCAGAAACGCAGTGAGACGCGCCAAGAGGATGGAACATAGACATAGAGGAAGATGAGAGTCACCCCACCCCGCCCCTTGGACATAAATCAGTGACACCGAGACTCGACGAAGAGAGTCAGGTAGAAAGGCGGGATTTACCATTGGTGGTGCCAGTCTCTACTACGCTGTATTATACTATCCAGCACCTGCTTCTTGGTCCCCGTGGTTTTACAATTGTTTTTATAGCGCAGCAGAGAGAAGAGACCGAGTGATACTTTTTCAAGAACCTATTCGTACCTATTCGCATATCGGGGATGCCTTTCGAATTCAATACACGTATTGTCGTCCAGTCGATAATCGGAAAGACTGCAAATACACGTCAACAAAGAGACTTCGTAATGGCGAGGTGTACTTTTCATTCGGATACTATTAACCGGTCCTCCGCGTTCCTGGTGTTATTTGAGAAATTAAATATCGACCGGAAGCGATCCATTCAGAGCACGTCATATTTCCGCGTATGCACGCCACCGATCCAACGTACCAGACCTTACGATCTGATAAGGGTCAGCAACAATTTTTTATATATTAGACGCCCCAGTGAGACGATCCCAACCTATTACTTTCATTATTGACTATGTGGAGAAGGTAGGCCAGAGGAATGTCCGCCAAATTTTCACTGTGTCTCATCACGATTCTCATGAGTTTAGGTAATGATTTTTATAGGCCATGGATTACGGTGACACCGTAACTTATGAATATTCAATTGCTCGTATACTCTTCAGCGTGTTCATAAATTTTACGCACGATAAGATTCTACTGTCTGCGTCTATAAACGTACGATTTCCGGGGTTCCTTAAAGATAATAATGTCGCTGCCATGGATGCGGAGACACTACACGCTGTCCTCGTGCAACGTGGAACGTATATGTGTATAATAACAGCCCATTTTTTTCTTCACTAATTTCAATTTCGCGATAGAGTCGTAAAGAATGGCAACTCGATTGGATAAAAATGACGAAAAATTCACGAGGAAAAGAACTAGAAAAAAATATAATATCCTACCGCTTCACGATACTTGTCAATGTAATTTCACTGCCTGTAAACGCTCGCAGCACGTATGAATAATGGAGACGCGAGGGACCGGCTAGTGCGCCATTATTATAGCTATACATAATTACGAGCTATGAATGGTAACAAATTCTATCGAGGGTCTCGCAACCGATTACGTCTAGAGAAGGACTTGCGTGTTGTTTAGGCATTGTCAAAGAAAATCATTCATTGCCTTTCTATCGTTTTCATGAATTCCCACGCGAGCCTCGTTTCAATTCATAAGGGACGATGAATGCGCGACTAGGAATATGTCATTCAGCGGTATAAGTCATTAGTAAATCACGATAGTGCATTGCACAAGCATCGTCCTAGACAACCAATCGTTTTCAGAAAATTGAAATCGTCAACGTGCTACTACATTTCTCCTAAGTATCACCGTCCAGCCCACTTAATTAATGAAGTACGTCAAGTCCGTGTATTATAACTGTACAAACGATTTTGAATTTTTTACTAATAATTTTTAAGTTCTTCAGCCCTCCATCCCTCAATTGTTAACTACCATTCTTCGAATGAGAGCTCAAAAAAGAAAACCAAACATACAATAAAATCTCAACCCCGAAACAGCACAAAGATAAGAATACAATACGAGCTTTCCTCAAAAGCTTGTGAAACACTGAAAATCTCGAGGAGAGTGAGACTAAGAA